CCTCTCCCTCCTCTGTTTCTCTCTTCCCCTCTCCTCTGTCTCTCTCTCCTCCTCCCTCCTCTCTCTCTTTCTCTTTCTCCCCCTCTCCCTTTCTCCCTCTCTTTCTCTCTTCCCCTCTCCTCTGTCTCTCTCTCCTCCTCCCTCCCCTCTCCCCTCCCCTCTCTCTCTCTCTCCTCCGCCCTCCCTCTCTCCCTCTGTTTCTCTCTTCCCCTCTCCTCTCTCTCTCTCTCCCCACTCCCGCCTCTCCTCACCATGCTATGCTCCCTTCCCTACGTCAGTCGCCCTCCTGTGGGTGACCGCTCCCTGGCACACAGCCTGACCAGGACAGGTTCAGGGGAAGATCACCTCCTCGTGCCTGGCCAGGAAGCCTCGGAGCGGCTCCCCCTGCTCCTGGGCTTCGGCGTCCCCATCTCCAGCACCCTCATTGCCTCATGGTGGGCTTGTTACGCCGTCCTTCTCCCATCTTGTGCTTATAAAGACGGTTTTGAACCCTGTCCAACCCTAGTGAGCTTCATTTTATTAGCCTTGGAGCCAGTAAGGCTTGGGTTTGAATCCTGCCTCAGTAAGAGCTGAGTTATTTAGTCTCTCTCCGTCTCAGTTTACTCCTCTGTAAAATAGGTTGACTAGCAACACCTACCTCGCCGTGCACTTACGAGCCTCACATTAAGATAGTGTATAGAATTGTTGTTGTGCAGTCGGTTTTCAGTCGTGTCGAACTCTTTGTGATCCCTTGTGGGGTTTTCTTGGCAGAGATACTAGAGTGGTTGGCCATTTCTTTCTCCAGCTCATTTGTGAGGAAAGTGAGGCAAACAGGGTGAAGCGACTCGCCCAGGGTCACTGCGCTAGTAAGTGTCTGAGGCTCGATTTGAACGTAGGCAGATGAGTCTTCCTGACTCTGGAGCCTGGTGCTCTGTGCACTGTGGCGCCCCCTAGCGGCCCAATGTGTAGAAAGCACATCGTAAAATTAAGAGAGTTCCATCAATATCGCCTGCTGTCATCCTTTCTTCCCTCCACACCCAATAGCCAGGGTCCCAGCCCCTCGGAGCTGGAAGGGACTCCACTTTGGCAGCCAGTGGTCATCCACCGTCTCTCCCTCTTCAGCATCTGGACAGCGCCCCGGATCGCAGAGCACAGACCCGTAGCTCGAAGGGTCCTCAGAGGTCATGGAGCCCATCTGAGAGCTGCGGTCACCTCCCCTCCGAGAGGTCAGGGATCCTGCCCACTAGGGTCACCTAGCAGGTGTCTGAGACAGGACGTGAACCCAAGTGTTTCTGCCCTCCAGCGCAGCACGCTGTCCATGCTGCCTTTCAGGTGCAGTGTGGGGGAGGGCTGCGAGGGGAGACCCACGGAAGAAAAAGGTCCCGGAGGAGCACTAAAGCACGACATCGTCCTCAAGCGTAGCTCCCCTCCTCTGCAGAGGTGGGGGGCTAAGGCTGCGGGACGCTGTGCATCATGGCAGGCTTTTTCAGGAGATGTTGCTTGGCTTTGCTGACCTTTCTCCCCTCTCCTCTGTTCTTCATTCTAAGGGGCACCTCTCTGGAAATGGGGAAGGATGCATTGGGAAATGCAGATTATGTAAAAACAACAGATATTCATAAAACAGCTTGTTTTAAGAAGAAAGAGAATGCTAGACACCTTGGGACTTGCCTAATATCACACAGGCGGAATTTGATCTGGGCGTCTGACCCCAAAGGCAATATCTTGCCCCTCATGGCACCACACTAACCCCATTCACTGGCTGACATCCAGCTGGGCTTTACTGGACGTTACCCTTGGTCCTGCCCTATGATGCCCAGCAAAGCAAGTCTGAGACCCCTCCCACTTGAGCACTCTTCACATTCTAGGAAAAGAAAATGCTCCTTGGAGACAGCGAGTGGGAGCCTGTTCTATGGCATCTCTGCTTTGGGATGGGCTGAATTCCTGGAACTTGCCTCTGAAAGCCAATGTGTCCCGGGATCGGGGAAAACATGGCTCCTTGTCAGATTCTCAGAGGGTGTCTGGAGCTACTGGGAGGTGCCCCTTGGCTTCCCCAAATTGGGGCTCCACAGACATCCTCTACCCCCAGCCCGTGTCCTCAGATTCCTCTCGGTCCTGCCCCTATCCTGCTATCTTTTTGGCAACCAGTGGAAACTGCCTATTCGCCAGATCCTGCCCCTAGTGTTTCTCTGCTGCCATCTGCTGAGTGAGGCAAACCTCACTGGTCCCTGAGTGTTATGTGTGTGGATTGATTGAAATGACTGAGGAAACACAGGTTTGAGTTTCCGGAACTATAGATTTATTAAGTAATGCCTGCCAATGGCTCAGTAAACTGGGGCCAGGTCTCCTCAGCTTGGCACAGGACCCTGAATACAGGGGGAGACAGATGTTTATGCATTAAAAGAAAGAATAGAAAGCCACATCCAGGATGAGGTAATCTGATTTCTAATTGGAATAAAGATTAGGGGCTCTCCACGTTGGGAGGGAGAAAATGAACAGGTGCAATTCCTGGCCATCAGAAAAAGAGGTGTTCCATCCCCCCAATTTCCATATTCCACAAAAGCAACATGGAGCCAATAAGTGATTGATCAGGCCACGGCCAGTTTTCAGATAAGCCACATGGCTTGCTTGAGATGTGTAACTGAGAGGAAAGCCCTTGCACCAGTCTGGACCAGCGTAACCCAGGTCCTTGGTGTAGGGTCTCTAAGCAGCAGGGAGGGGGGTCAAGCTCCCCAGTCGTGCAGGGCGAGGTTCAAACGATGCAATGAAATTGGCTCTCATTTCCTCTAACTGAATCCAGTTTTCTCACAGGACGGACATTGGACCAGACCTATAGCTGAAGAGAAGGGATTTGGGGCTAGCTCCTGAATTGAGTCCCAAGATGGAGTCAGTGTGGCTCACGCAGTCCCCACAATTCCTGCAGTTAACCTCCTGTGGCCCAGGCACTTGCCAGCAGTGGTCATCATTGGGTGGAGGCGACGGGCAGCGAAGCGTAGGTGCTTCTTAGGCAGACTTGTGCCGTTGGCCCCTAGCTCCTCAGAGCGCTGGCCCTACGCCTGGGTTAGCCAGCTGACCCAAGGAGATGGCGTGATACAGTGGCGATAGCACTAAGAGTCCTAGCACCCAAGGTCAGATCCGACATTGCTGCTTCCTCCTCTGCACTCTGTCCATATCATGGATGTTCATGAGCCTCAGAAAAGTAAGACCTTTGTCTGCCATGGGCCCCTTGGGCTTGCAGGCTGGCCAAGCTGTTGGACCCCATCCTTCTCAGAATCATGTTTTAAAAGGCATAAAATAAAACACAAAAGATTACAAAGGAAGCCAAGGGCAGATCATCATTTTCCCCATACAAATTCATGGATGCCCTCCCTGCCAAAAACTGATCCATAGACTCAGTGGTGGTCTATAGACTCCAGGATAAGAACTCCCAGATTAGATGATCCAAGGTCTCTTTGAGGCCCAAATCTACAATCTTCTGACCAAAGTTTGGCCTTTAGTTATGGGAATGGGCTACCAGGGAAGGTAGTGAGTCCCCCCCCCCAGGGCCAGTATTCAAGCAGTGACCATTTGTTGAAGATGGGCCGATTTCTTGCCAAATTGGAGTTGAAAGAGATGTCCTCTTAGGTCCCGTCCAGCTGTGGAAATCTGGGTTCTGGGGCACCTGGACTGCTGCTCTGGAAAGGCTCACCATGTGAGGGCCTGTTTCTGTACCCCTCTCTAGTCTTAGCTGAATTTCATGCTTTTCTCCAACAGACTAATTTCTCCTTTTCATTCCACAACACACAAGACAACAGACTTTTCTAAAGTGAAGGTGAGTTACCCATACATCTCACCCCTTTGCTAGGAAACCAATGAGCCTGTTTTAAAAATCCCATTACCAGTGTGGACATTGACTCTAGTCTCTTTTTCTCCTTGGTCTAAACTCAATAGATGAAGCTCCATCCATTTACAAGGGAAGTCCCAGTGTACAAAGTCCACCCACCAATGCAGAGCCACAGTGGCTCTGTGAGGGACCCTGAGAGGGAGCGACTTACCCAGGGTCGCACAGCCAGTGGGGGTCAGAGGCAGCTCAGGTCTCCCCAAGGTCTTTCCAAGGCTGGTCCTTTAGCCAATAGGCCATGCAGCCTCATGGTGCCAGTTGAGATGAGGTGTTATGGAGGGCAGATTGTGTGAGGACACTTTCTCATGTACGTTGAAGTATCCAAGTAAGAATGCGGGGGTAGGGATGGAAGGAAGAAAGCAGGTGAGGGGAAAAGCCCCTTGAGACAGGAGGGAGGATGACCGAGGTGGGGTGGGGGGACAATAGATGATGGTTTCAGTGAGAAGCTGAGAGGAGAGCAAATGATGGGCTCGCTGAGCTGGGGGGAAGGTGAGGAGCCTGCCTGCCCTGCGCCTTTCTTTGTGGGAGCCCTCAAGTGAAGCCTGGAAGAAGATGGCTGAAGTGCCTGGCTTGGAGCGTCATCTGCCGGGTGGGAGCCCATCGGCCCTGGGGTCTGCTGGTTGTAGAACCCAGCGGTCACCCAGCAGAAGAGAGGCCACCAGGTGCTTGCTGAAGTCTGGGCCCCTGAAGCCCAATGCCCCACTTGGGAAATTTCATCTGGAGGCCCAGACCTAACAGCGGGGTGAATAGACCTCAATCCAGCACTTTCTTAACTACTGTTTTTGCCCTAGGTGAAAATCGTCCTGGTTTTGGCTTTGCCTGTAGGCCACGGTAGGGATGGTTGGGGGCTCAGGCCAGGGGACTAGAATTCAGACCTGGCCCAAGGCTGTGGTTCTTCACTCCTCCCGTGTACCAGGAGGCTTTGGGGCTCTTCAGGCCTCTCTTGGTAAATTTAAAAACATCGGCCCTTCCCCCTCTTTCTGTCCTCCTTTCCCCCACTTCATCTCCCATCACTCAGGAATCAACCTCCTTCGTGGCGAACATTTTCAAGGGAAAAATTGTTGCGGACAACATGTTCCTCTTCCCTTCAGGTAGGACCTGGAGTGGCCCCCTGAGCCAAGTGCCCCAAGTGGCAGGACCTTAGAGGCCGGGGCAGGTTCTCTGTTCTCCCCTAGTTCTCAGTGAGGAACAGACTTCATTCCTGAAGACACTGTATGAGCCCTGCAACCGCTTTTTTGAGGTGAGTGCTACCCGGCACACCCAGGCTCTTTGCTCCCCAAGGAGGAAATTAGGGGGGCCTGGCTTCTACAGGGTGCTGAGTGAGTCATGGGCTTCAACAGCTGCTGTCCTAGACGTCCCTGCTCTGCCTGGCCAGGGGAGTGGGGAACGGCTAGTCTGATGGGACAGATGTAAGATGGCGGGCGGAGAGAGAAGGCCCAGGGCAGAGGCCCCTGGACTCATGAAGGGCAGCTAATATGAGGGGCCCATAGCACGGAGAGGGAAACTGAGACCCCCTGTGCTCTTTTTTCCCCCCTTTTTTAGGCAGTTGGGGTTAAGTGACTTGCCCAGGGTCACATAGCTAGTAAGTGTTATATGTCTGAGGTCAGATTTGAACTCAGCTTCTCCTGACTTCAGGGCCAGTGCTCTATCCACTGCACCACCTGGCTGCCCCCACTCCATGTGCTCTTAACCGTGATCAGGAGATGCAATAAAGCAATGCCCTTTGCTCTGTTGTTGAAACTGTTAAGTCACTTGTGAAAAGTGGGTCCAGCCTTGGGTTGGGCATCAGCATTCTCTAATACTAGGTAGGCTGAGCAAGCCGGCTGGGGGTGGGGGACGAGGCAGAGGAGGAAGGCAAGGTCAGGAGAAGACCATTCTCTGCTGATAGTGCCTCCCAGCTCTGCGGCAGCCGTATTCAGCCCATTTCACAGATGAGGTGGCTCCCAAAGCAAGGGGCTCCCAAGCTTCTGACTCTTCCACAGGGTTTATGGGGTGTCTCAGTCTCATCAACTATTTAAAATTGTATCTTTGAAGGAGGTTAATGATCCAAATTGGAATGACAAGAATGAAAAAGTCCAGGCAAAAACCCTACAAGGGCTCAAAGAGCTGAAAATGTTTGGGTTACAGGTGCCCGAAAACCTAGGAGGCTTGGGGCTCACAGACACCCAGGTGAGGGGGGAGAAGGGCATGTGGGAGGGGGACATGGGGCTGACAGACACCCGGGTGAGGGGGGAAAAGGGTATGGGCAGAGTAAGAATGCGGAGGCCTCCAAAGCAGCCATTTCTATTTTGGAGGCAGAGCCTCCGCTTAGGAGGGGAGCATGGGAGGGGAGCTCCCAGGCTTCAGGGTCCCACTGATTTGGAAGGTGCTTCCAGTTGTCAGTGTGCTCTGAGCCCTGAGGGTCCCAAATTTTGAGCTTGAGAAGCTCAGGGGTATGTGGTCCAACATTCTCACTTCTAGATGAGGAAGCTGAGGTGTAAAGAGGAAAAGGGCACCCCAAAGCCAAGCTGAAGCTTTCCCTGTGGTCCCCTTCCCTCTCCCCTCCCCCCAGCCAGGTGGGAGCCCCCCTTGTCCCCTCCCAGAGCAGGTGAGACAGAGTCTGAAAGGTTACACCCCCCTTCCCCCTCGGCCATGCTGGGGTCCACGCCCCATCTTCCTGGCGGAGTCCCGTAACATTTCTGTCGCCATCCCTGTCTGGCAGTATGCACGCATGGTGGAGATCCTGGGCTGGCATGACCTGGCCGTGGGCGTCACTCTTGGGGCCCATCAGTCCAGCAGCTTTAAGGGGATCCTGCTGTTTGGAGACAAGCATCAGAAAGAGAAATACCTGCCTGACCTGGCCTCTGGTGAGGAGCCTGCCCTCTCTTCTAGCCCAGTCCTCGCTCCCCTCGTCTCCTCCACGTCCAGAGGATCTCAGCCCAGCATTTGAGGCCTCTGCACTCTGGCCCCAACCTACTTTTCCAGCCTTTGCTCCCATTACTTGCCAAAGAGCTCCACACAAACACGCTTCACTCCCTCCAAGTGTTCCCCTTCACCTGTGCTTGCCTCCCTACTTGGAGCACTTATCCCCTCCTTCCTGCACGGTCTAGTCCTGTCCACGCTTCCTACGGGAAGCCCCACGACCACCCCAGTGGCCAGAAAGCCAGCCTCCCAGCCCCAAACTGCTGTACTAAGTCTGAGATCCCCAGCTAGAGTGTAAGCTCACTGAGGGCAGGAACCACACATATGCCCCACGGCACCTCCTGTGGCTCTTTGCACATAGTAAGGGCTCAGTAAAGCTTTGGTGAGTGGGGGGATAGCTGAGTGAGTGATGGCATGGACCTCAGGCACACCTTCAGGAATGCAGCCCTGATTGTCTAAGGTCCACTCAGTATTCCAGTCCAAGGCAAAGGTGGCCAAGCACCAGCCTTCAGGAGTGCCCCGAAGAAGCAGCCCGGCCTCTTGCCAAGCAGCTGCTGAGCCTTGACCAGCTGCCCTCCATGGTCTGGCCTTGGCTAACTCTCACCCCCAGCCAGCTCTTCATTCCCTGGGAGCATCTCCCTGGTTTACACATAGCCACAGGAAAAAGCTGGACGCTCCCTGCTGACCAGCCAGAGAGGCCAGCCCAAACTCCCAGAACGCATCAAGGCCTGTGGACCCACTGTACCCTCAGCCAAAGAGACAGCAATGGCCCTTTTGCTACTGATGGGCTGGTCCAGAACTCCCAAACACCTCCCTGGGATTCTTCAGCCTTGGAGACTGAAACACCAGGCGCCCCTAACACTTGAGGGCCCCTGGCTGCGTGGGCACACAACTCCCAAATGCCCAGAAGACCAGGGGGTTAGGGGGCTGAGAGGAGGCCCCCTTGGGCAGTAGCGGCCCCCCCCCCACTGTAGGCCAGTCCCTGGGCGGGGAAGCTCTGTACCTTCACAGGGTGAATACTGATCCCTCTCATCTGCGTATTGAAAGGGAGGTCTCTGGCGGCTTTCTGCCTGACGGAGCCAACCAGTGGCTCAGATGCAGCCTCCATCTGGACCATGGCTGAGGTCAGCCAGTGTGGGAAATTCTATACCCTGAATGGTAGCAAAATGTGGATCAGGTGAGGCCCCTTCAGAGGGCATCAGGGGCCTTTCAGGGCTGTCAGGGAGGTCACCGGTGCTTCGCGAGCAGGCTGGCAGAGAGGGGACGGACTTCTCCGGGTCAGGGCTCTTGGGGAGGCGGGGACCACAGAGGCCACGAGCCCATAGCCCTCAGTCTGAGGGAGAGGAAGCTGAAGGCGAGAGCAGGAAGGAACTCACCCAAACTCACACAGGAGAATCTGACCTCTCTGGGATCCTCATTCCTGCTCTTTCCTGCACTCCTAGCACAGTGGGTAGACTGCTGGGCCTGAAGACGGGAAGACCTGAGTTCAGATTTGGCCTCAGATGCCTATTAGATGTATGTCCCTGGGCAAGTCACTTAACTGCTGCTTGCCTCAGTTTACTCATCTGTAAAATGGGGATAACAGCCCCCACCTTTGCAGAATTTTGAGGCTCAAACAGGATAATACTTATAAAGTGCTTAGCACAATGCCTGGTATATAGTAAGCACTTAATAAATGCTTATCACCCCGTACTCCTGGGGACCCTCAGACTCCCAGTGACCTCACGCTGCCCCAAGCCCCCTGCAATGTACAGGGCCTTCCCCAGTATCATTTCCATGCTCCAGAATTGCTTATCTCCCTTTCCTCTTTCAGACCACGAGGTCAAAGCACCCATCCCTATAGTACAGATGATTTCAGAAGGGATGGACTGGACCAAGGCCCTATGATGCCTCCTAGAAGGAGGCACGAGCTAGCCCCCATGGAGGGATTTCAGGCACTGCAAGTGAAATGATTCCCCTCAGAGTCTCAGGGAGGCCCCCAGGGCAGCAGGCTCAGGGCCAGCTCCCCATCAGCAACCCCCATGTGTCCCCCCATCTGCCCCTACCTTCCCTAAACTGCCCTTGCCTGCCAAACTCCCTCATCTAGGACTCTACCTCAGAGCCCTCAGCTTCTGTGCTTGCGGAATCACTAAGTCATCCGCTGGGAATTGTTTTGGCCCGTATCTGTTGCCAGCCTGGCCCCTGGTTCCTTTACCCTGAGATCAGCTCTTCCCGTGGGCGCACTGGCAGGTCCAGGTGGGGCAAGAAGCAGCCTCGCAGAGCGTGGTGGGGAGTGTGTGTGTGGGGTAAAGCCTCTCTGAATGGCTGGCAGAGCGATGAGGTGGATGGGTCTAATGCGTGGGAAAGACAGCGCTCTGACTGCTTTAGCTAGCATTCTAAGAATGGTGCACAGGAGAAAGGAGGAGGAAAGTGGGGAGAGGAGGAGGAGGAAGAGAGAGGGGAGAAGGAGGGAGAAGAGAGAGGAGGAAGAGAGGGAAGAGGAAGAGGAGGAAGGGAGGGAGGAGGAAGGAGGAAGAGGAGGAGAGGGAAGAGAGGAAGAGAGAGAGAGAGAAGAGGAGAGGAAGAAGAAGAGGAAAAGGGGGAGAGGGGGAAAAGAGAGAAGAGGAAGAAGAGGAAGAGGAGGAAGAGAGTGGAGAGGAAGAGGAGGAAGAGAGAGAGGAGGAAGAGAGGAGGAAGAGAGAGAGAGAGAGGAGAGAGAGAGAGGAAAGAGAAGGAAGAGAGAGAGGAGGAAAAGGAGGAAGAGGAGGAAGAGAGGGGAGAGGAAGAAGAAGAGTACGTAAGGCTGACTGCAACAATATTCTTGCATCCAAGCAATGGCGGGGTAGCCGATGTCTTTACGGTATTTGCCAAGACAAAAGTGAAAGATGTGACCACAGGAGAAGAACATGGAAAAATCTCAGCCTTCATTGTAGAAAAAGAATTTGAGGGCGTGACCAGGTAGGACCATCCTCAGAATCCCCCGGTGTTGGCCTTCTCTCAGAGGCTGTGGTCTGCCTAGGCTAGCTCTGACGCATTTTAGAGATGTGTATGCCAGCGGAATGGGGCAGTCATATTTGGGGGACAGAATGGAGGCTTGTGAGGTAATGTCCTGCTTTTCTCTTTTCCATGAAAGTTGAGGAGATGAAGGTCTTCAGTCCATTGTATAGACAGAAAAACATTTGATTCTCCCTGAAATTACAGGAAGACGTCCATATAACCCACTTCCCCCACAGAGGCCCCTCTACATCGAACCCCATATCCCTGTCTTCTCTGCCTTTCCGTGGGGATGCTGGGGGTAGGAAGATCACACCAGAGGGAGAGCCTCACATACTGTAGAACAGAAGTGTTGAGCATGTTCTGTGGGGAGCTGAACAATCATTCCATCTATAATTATGGGGACAAAACAGGGTGAGCACGGACGGCCAAGAGCTCAGAACCTAGCTCAGACTCCAAGGGCCTTTGTTGGCCATTGGAAAATATGTGTGGGTCACTTAAACCTAAGGCTTTCCTGGCCTGGCAGCCCTTGGCATCAAGGCCCTGTGTCTAACCCAGGCCTGCACCCCATATGGGCTGCAGGCCGCCAAAGGATTTTAGGCGGCTGACAAACAGCGTAGAGGATGTAAAAGAAAGTAAAACTGGAACGCGTACTTTGTCCGTGCCCTGCTTAACCCACCTTCCAGTCACCGTTCTGCCCATCATGTAACTTGGCGGGTGGGTGCCCACTGCTCCCTCTCTCCTGTTGGTTACATGACCCACAGTAACCAACCATTGTCAGCTGGTCTCTAGTCTGAGGAATGAGAATCCTATCTTTTCTCTGCATTTTCAGTTGTTACTAAATGTAAACAGTAAGAAAACCTGAAAAATGTATTAAAACTTGTGCCACTTAGCAAAGTAATTTTTTTTAACATTAATGTGATTTCATGATAAGTAAAAATCTTAATAAGTGTAATTAATTGATATTAATTGAAATTCCCCTTTCTAAAAATATAGTTTATTTGCAAAATAGTTTAATCATTAATTATACCCTTACTTGGAAAGTGAGCCACTAAAAACCTGTCTGTGGCCCGAAGAAGTTTATCCCATTTTAATTTTGGCCCCCACCTACCTCCAAGTTGTGTGGGTCTAGTCAAACCCATACAATGAAATGGACCTGGAAAATTAGAGAAATCGTTGGATGGATGTAGACCACGAAAGGGAATCATTTAATCATTGAAAGAACTCTACCCTTCAGACTTGGAATTATGGGTTGTCTGTCTATACTCGTTAGCTAGACAAAATACCAGTCTCCCACTTTGTGCCATGTAGACACAATAATTGTGGAGGAATTATGGATAAATGGAGACAGAGGTCTTGTGGGGAAATAGTTACCGGGCTTGACAGGTTTGTAGGAGGGAAGAAGAGGGGAGAGAAGGGGTTAGCTTGGGGAAAATGTGTGCTTGTTTTTTCTCAGTGGCCCACCGGAGGAAAAGATGGGCATCAAGGCCTCCAGCACCACCTCAGTCTCCTTCGACAATGTGAATGTGCCCGCTGAAAACGTACTGGGGGGCTTTGGGAATGGCTTCAAGGTCACCATGAATGTCCTCAACAACAGCCGCTTTGGGACAGTCTCCACCCTGGCAGGCACCATGCGCAGAGTGATCGAGAAAGCAGTGAGCTGGTGGGCCGTCAGTCGTGAAGGTCCGGGCCAGTCAGGCACTGCTGGGAGGGAGTAGAAGTGCACCCCCCCCGGGGGACAATCGGGACATTAGCATGACATGTGAGGCATGGGAGTCAGAGCTGGACAGAACCTCAGAGGTCAGTGAGCACAGCCCTCCACTTTAAGAGGAGAAGGCAGAGGCTCAAGACGGAGCTGGAAGCGGAGCCTCAGTCCTCTGACTCCTCCTTAGGTCAATTCTGACAGCTGACATAAACAGGCTTGAAGGTAGACCCCTGAGTCATCTTGACTTGAGGGGAATGCTCACTGCTTCTGGACCCCAAGCCTGAAAACTGCAGCTGGGAGGATTCAAGTTTAGATGAAGGAAAGGGAGGGACCCTGAGGCCCTGTCATTGAAGGACCCACTGAAGGAAGTGGGAGTGTGTGGCCTGGAGAAGAGAAGAGTCGGGCACGGCAGCTGTTCCCATGTCTCCAAAGAGCTGCTGCCCAGAAAAGGAATTAGACTTCTCCTGCATGGCCTCCGAGGACCAGGAGCCACATTGGTGCTGCCCAGAAAAGGGACTAGGCTTCTCCTGCGTGGCCTCCGAGGACCAGGAGCCACGTTGGTGCTGCCCAGAAAAGGGACTAGGCTTCTCCTGCGTGGCCTCCGAGGACCAGGAGCCACGTTGGTGCTGCCCAGAAAAGGACTAGGCTTCTCCTGCGTGGCCTCCGAGGACCAGGAGCCACGTTGGTGCTGCCCAGAAAAGGGACTAGGCTTCTCCTGCGTGGCCTCCGAGGACCAGGAGCCACGTTGGTGCTGCCCAGAAAAGGGACTAGGCTTCTCCTGCGTGGCCTCCGAGGACCAGGAGCCACGTTGGTGCTGCCCAGAAAAGGGACTGGGCTTCTCCTGCGTGGCCTCCGAGGACCAGGAGCCACAGTGGTGCTGCCCAGAAAAGGGACTGGGCTTCTCCTGTGTGGCCTCCGAGGACCAGGAGCCACATTGGTGCTGCCCAGAAAAGGGACTAGACTTCTCCTGCACGGCTTCCGAGGACCAGAGGCCACGTTGGTACTACACAGAAAAGGGACTGGGCTCCTCCTGCATGGCCTCCAAGGACCAGGAGCCAAGTTGGAAAGCCACAAAGAGCTGAATTTAGGGTAATGGGAGGCGAAACTTCCTCTCTATGAGAACTGTGCCAGAGTGCAATGGGAGGCCTGAGGAAATGGTGGGCTCCCCATCCCTAGGGATCTTCCAGGGAAGGCTGGACGGCCTCTGGTCAGGTACACTAGAGATGGGGCTCCTTTGCCATTGGGCATCGGACTGGGGCCACCAAGATCCAAGCCAACTTGAACATTGTGATTCTATGAGTCACTGGGGCATGGGGTGGGGGCTCAAACTCTCGCACTGCTGCTCAGGCCAGTGGTCCACTCCACTGCCGGACGTGTCTCTCCTGCTCTGAGCTGGCAGACACACAGGTGGAAGACTCTCTGCCCTCTCCTTCCACTCACCCTTCACAGCCTCTGCTTTACCCCTCCTCAAGCCAATGTGGCGTAGAGATGTGAAGAGGCAGCACACCCAGCTCTGTCCCTGCGGGCGAGGGGCATGCCCTGTGACCATCTGGTGCTCAGCCGTACACTGGGCCGTGTAGCTAGGACTAGGAACCTTCAGGTGCTAACCCTCACTAGCTGTCACTGCTGGGGTAGCCACTGCTCCCTCAGCCTGGCTTCCTCTTCTGCAGAATGGGGGTGGTGATCCTTGCCCACCCTACTTTACAGGGGTGACCCTGGGGAAATCCCTTCACCCTGTTTGCCTCAGTTTCCTCATCTGTAAGATGAGCTGGAGAATGACATGGCAAACCACTCCAGTATCTTTGCCAAGAAGACCCCAAATGAGGTCAGGAAGAGTCAGATGCAACTGAAAATGACCGAACAACAGCTGTGTACAAGGCGCTAAGACTGAGCAATGGCATACCAGCACTTTAGAGAAAGAGGCTGCTCAGGGTGCGGTCCTACTGAGTGACTCCTTGGGCTTATTCATTTTTTAGTGGGTGGTGCCATGTGCCAATAGCCAGGAGACCCAGCCTCCTGGGCCTGCTAGAGCCACTTACCAGCTGGGTGACCCAGATCAGGTCCTCCATAAAGGTGGGATGATAATACTCTATTTCCCTGGCCCACAAAGTCCCTCCCTAAGTCCTAGGCATCACTCATTCTAGGTCCACATCGGCCAGGGGTGGCCAGGTCCCCCCAGCGACTCTCCCTCTAGGGTAATCGTCTCAGATAAATGCATGCCACCTGGAATACCCAGGGAGAGAGCTGCTCCTCGGACAGGCCACTCACTTCTTGGCCCCCAGCCTCTGAGGGGGCTCCCTTTCCTTATCCTCCCCTTTGCTCTCTCTCCTCGGATGCCAGGCTAACCATGCTGCCAAACAGAAACAGTTTGGAAAAGAAATCCGCAACTATGGGATCATCCAGGACAAGCTGGCCCACATGGCTATGTATCACTGTGTCACCGAGGTAAGAGCCCAAACAGCCACAGACACCGGGAGGTGGGGATATGTGGTTTTCACACCAAGAGATTTTTTTTTTAAAGAACGTGCATCCCAGGATATTTGATGGACTGACCGACTGAAAAAGGATTTATTAAGCACTTACTAACCAAGTGCTGGGGATACAAATGCAGAAGACACCCCTGCCTTCAAACAGTTTACATTCTAATGCTGTAAGACCCTCCAGAAAGGGGCAGGACCTGGAGGGGGCAAGGGCGTGGGGACAGGGTAGTCCAGCAGCACGCACTGTCTTCACAACTCTTTATTCCACTTCTATGATGTGCAGAACCCCGCCCCCCCCGACCTCACGGAGCTCTCACTTGAGATGGGGCGATGAGGCAGGGATGCAGATGGCTGGCCCAAGGCAGGAGGAGGGTGCCCAAGAGGAGTTGGCAAGGGCCATGGGAGGGTGGGTGCTTCTGACTGGGGGAGACCAGAATGGTTCCTGGAAGGGGCTTGAAGGATAGTTGGGGGTCTTTTGGTAGAGATTGCACAGAGAGGGTGGAGGGAAGGAGATGCCAGGGGGAGAGAAGAGCATGGATGGATGGAGACACAGAGGCAGCAAAGGAGGAATGTCTGAAGAACCCAGTCGGGTAGAGGAGAAGGTGACCAGAGCAGGTGAACCACACAGCCTCAAGGCACAGGAAGAGCTGTCCATGCACGTGCCCAGGGTTGGTCAGTGACCTCTAGAGGTCTGTAGAGAGCGGGGAAAGGTCATCCCGCTTTTCCAAAAAGGGAAGACACTACAGCTTACCACCTCTGGGTTAGGAAGCGTGACTGTGACACCCAGAATTCTAGAAGCTATTTTAAAGAGATGCTCCCCGAAAAGGAAGCAGCCATCACAGAGAGCAGACATGCCACACAAGCCTGGTGTCCTCCTTTGGCACGGTGACTAAGCAGATAGACCCAGGGGTGTGATGGCCGGAGCTCACCTCGACTCTCTCAAAGCACGCTGGTTGGGGGGATGAGATGCCCGGAAGGGTCATGAAGGGTAGCCATTGGCACCTTGATGTCAGCCTAGGACCAGGTCTAAAGAGGAGTGCCTCGGGTCTCCGCCATGTTTGACGTTTTTGTCCGTGATTTGGACACAGGCAAAGAGAGCGTGTGTAACAAACTTCAGCGACGCAAAATTTGGAGGGCAGCCAACAGTCTGAATTATGGGCAGGATCCAAAAGGTCTTCAACCGCTGGGCTAATGGGCCAAAGCTAATGAGATCAAACCAGTAAGGAGCAATGTAAAGCCTTTCACTTGGGCTCAAGAAGTTCACCTCTCAAGGCCAAGTTTGTGGAAGTATGTGCAGGTCAGCTGAAGAAGATCTGGGGGTCTGAATGAACTGCCAGTTCCGGATGATTCAGCAGAGCCCTCTGGCAGCCCCAAAAAGAAATTCAGTCCTGAGCTGCATTCAGAGGGACTGAGCTGCTAAGACCATGGAGATGACGTTCCTGCTGTCCTCAGCCCTCGAAAGTCAGACCTCATCAAGAGGACTGTGATCAATTCTGGGCACCATGGGGAAGCAGGATGTTGAGAAGCTGAGAATGCCCAGAGGAGGTGGCCAGGATGGGGAAAGGCCTGAAGCTTAGGCCCCATAGCAACGAAGTGATGAGCGGCTGAAGAAGAAAAGACTCAGGCCGGGATGGCCAGACCCAAAGGGCTGCCTGACCAGAAACAGGGAGGCCTCAGGGGCCCCAGAAGCTACCTCCATCACCACACTTCTGTGATCCCATCACACATTGGCCTTTTTTCCCCGGTGGCACAATCTGGCAAAAATGGGCACATCAGGCATAGCTCTTGACCGATGATGGAGGGAGATTGGGAGCCATAGCAAGCCTAGAGGTCCAACAGGGTGGCAGCCTCTGGAGGTCTAGCAGCAAGGGCTCTGCCCTGCTTCTGCTGCCTGACCTGAGAAATGCAGCATACACCAGCATGCCACGACCTGAGGCCGCAGGGCTGTGAACACATGGAATTAAGCGGCAAAGTGCTAGAAAGATGGAGAAAGAAACACAATCGCCCAGAAGCCGCAGCAAGCGCCTTTGCTTTCTCTTCCTTCTGCCTTTTTTCTTTGTGTACGCCCTCTGGGAGCGCCCTCCTCTGGCTACACCTCTGTCTCTGCTTCCCAGCCTGTCTCTCGCGTCTATCACTTCTGTCTCCACTTTCTGTCTCTCTTCTCCATCCCCAACTAGCTCTCTCCTTCTCCCGCCCTCTCCCTTTCATCTCTCACTTAAAACTCTTCCTCTCCCTTCCATCTCTCACTTAACTCTCTTCCTCTCTCTCTCTCTCTCTCTCTCTCTCTCTCTCTCTCTCTCTCTCTCTCTCTCTCTCTCTCTCTCTCCCTTCCTTCTCTTCTCTTCTCTTCTCTTCTCTTCTCTTCTCTTCTTCTCTTCTCTCTTTCTCTTCTCTTCTCTTCTCTTCTCTCTTTCTCTTCCCCCCTCTACTCCCCTTTCTCCCCTCCCTCTCCCTCCTTCTCTGTGTCTCTCTCATCTCCCCCCTCATCTGTTTCTGTCTCTCTCTCCCTCTCCTCCTCCTAACTACCTTACTTAATTGATTTTAAGTTGAAATACATCAGATTATCAGGTCCATCAGTTGGACTGAGGGTGCAGATCAAAGTACATGTTCTTTCTTTCCTTCCTTTCTCCCTTCCCTCCTCCATCTCTCCTTCCCTCCCCCTCCCTCCCTTCCTCCCTTCCTCCCTCCCTTCCTTCTTTCCTCCCTCCCTCCCTCCCTTCCTTCCTTCCTTCCTTCCTTCCTTCCTTCCTTCCTTCCTTCCTTCCTTCCTCTTCCTTCTTTTCCTCATCCTTCTCTTCCTCCCTCTGTCCTTCCTTTCCTCCCTCCCTCCCTCCCTCCCTTCTTTCCTTCCTCCCTCCCTCTTTCCTTCCCTCCCTCCCTCCTTTCCTTCCTTCTTTCTGTCTTTTTTTTTTGGAAGTGGCTAATGTGAGAATCTGTTGTGTATGACTCCATGTTTTTGTAGTGGGTTCTGTTTTTCTTACCTTCACCATGGGTAGGAGAGGTGGGGAGGAAGGAGAGAATCTGGAACTGAAAATAAAATTGAAAAAAAGAGAAATCTATTGGATTATATGTTGTGTTTCTCAAATACTGTTTCATATTCCATTTCCTTACCTTGGAAATCAGGTACCTTTAAAAAAAATCACTGGCTTTCTATTTATATGGACCTCAGTTTTTTTTCTCTGTGATTTAGTGTCACTAAACTTCTTTTTAAAAGTTCCCCAAGTCTTGCGCTAGACCTTTCCCAACTGTCATATTTGTCAGAGAGAAGTGAAGCCTTGGGACACAAGAGGGCCATGCTCTGGTCTGTGTAGGACTGTCCTTCAGGAAAGGGTCAGCCTTGTCCTGACTGGCTTCAGAGGGAACAACCAGCAGCAGCCAGAGGAGGTGTAGATAGGCAGACCTGGGCTCCAGAGAAGGGGACTGACTGCTGTCCCAAGAGGGGGCAGAGGGCCCCCCTCCCTGGAGGGCACCTTCAGGCCACAGTGGACCACCTTTCTCTGGGTCATGGTGGCCTCGAGGATTCTCAATGGGTCTGGGTTGGACCTGATGCCCTGAGACCCTGCCAAGATCTCAAGGTCTCAGAGTCAGAGCTTGCTTGGCACTTTACCACGCATTCATCAGCCCACAGTTGACACTCTGAGGCAAATGTGCTCTTCTCCCACAGTCAATGGCTTATATGATCAGTGGGAACATGGACATGAAAGTCTCAGATTTCCATCTGGAAGCAGCCATCAGCAAGATTTTTGCTTCTGTGAGTATATTTGCTCGTGATGGGCAGGACTCACTCTGTCACTGATGCTTTTTGTGGGCCATAGGGACTGCCAGGGAAACAAAGGCACGGCATCTCCCCTCAGAAGGGCCCTGTCCCATGGAGACCAGCCTACCTACAAGGCCCCTGCCCATCCACAGGCTCTCCTTACAGGGAGAGCCCAAGGCAGAGCAGCCATAGACCAAGGGCCTCTGAGGGAGAGAGCCCTGGGCTAGTCTGGGGTGCAAGGCCAGAGAAACGGGTCTAAGGACCACTGGTGCCCAGGAGGAGACTCAATCATGAGGTTTCAGGCTAATGGGTCAGAGGGAGGGATTCCCCCACTTAAGGAAAATCTCTTTTCCATTTTCCCACAAGGGGGACTGGATTTCCAGCAAGTCCCAGGATCTGGATTCAAATCCCGGATCTGTCACTTATTTCCTACATGACCTTGAGCAAATCATTTCACCTCCAGCCTCATGTTTGTCATCCAAAAGATGAGAGGGTTGGACCAGATGACCGGAGGCTTTGGAGGGTGACTTTGAGCTGGCAGATGTCTCAGTAGAGCTGCCAGCTCTACACTGACCTATAGACTGCGTTTGGAAAGGGCAGGATGACCCCTCCCTGCCCCCACCCCAGACAACCCGGCGGGGGTGGGGGGGTGTGGCTGGGAAGACCAGCCAGGGCCTTTTTCTAAGAGGGTCAGGCCGGAAGAGAGTCAGGGCAAAGCAGCCTCAGGGGCATGTGGGACTGGGAGGCTGAGCCCAGGGTGCAGGGGTGGGCAGAGGAAGTGGGCAGCTTGTCATGCCCTATCCATTGCAGCAGCGTCCAGGCTCATTGACCCCCGATGGACTTGTTTGTTTGCTCAGGAGGCCTCCTGGGAAGTCACCGATGAGTGCATTCAGATCCTTGGAGGAGCTGGCTACATGAAGGTGAAGCTCTGAACCCCTCTGCCAGCAGACACAGTGGCAGGGAAGGATGACTCCTTTGCTTTTCTGTACACACACACACACACACACACACACACACACACACACACACACACACGTGTGCCCAGGTGCACACGTCCATAGAGCCATACCGCAATCCACCATCCATCTTGGCTCACCAGCCCTCACAAGACAAGATGAGCAGACACAGAATTCTCTCTGGGTGTGTATACTCACTTGTGCATGCAGTTCACATGTGTGCATGTGTACACATGTGTGCTGGTACACATGTTATGTGTGCGAGGAGGTGACATGTCAGTGACCATCTTGGTGCTGCCTCAGAGGGCAGCATTGAGGACAAGCCCTGAGGGGCCAGGATGGCTGGGCTGGGAGGCCAGAGATCTCTAAGGCACTGGGCATAGCCCGCCTGGGGTAGGGCAGGTTTCATGTGGCCAAGGCCTGCTTGTCCTGCTTGGCCCCTGACAGCAGACACCGGAGGGGGCAGCTGCAAAGAAGCCAGGTTAGGCTCATGGAAGAGAACCCTTCCTTCCCACAAGAGCCCTAGAAAAGTGGACTGGGCTGGGGGGGAGGGGGGAGGGCACTGACTGGGAGCTATGGGGATGGACAACCCAGGGAGGTGGCCCAAGCTTCCACGAAGGGAAGGACCAGGAGTCAGGGCCCAGACATCAGGCCAAGGTCTGGTCTGCTGGGAAGCCAAGAAGGCCCCAAAGGAGGTGAGGTCGAGAGCCCCTGGGAAGGGAACTGGGTTCTCAAGCCACAAGCAAAGAACAGGGAGCGAGCAATTAGCTGTCCAGACTGAAGCTGGTCCCCAAAGAAGTCAGGAAGCTCCAGAATGGGGAGTGGCTAGAACCTCAGAGCAACAGGGAAGAGGACGTTGGGCCTCCAATGGCAGGCTGCCCTTGGCGCGACCCTGTCTGAAGGCTGGTGCCCAAATTCCCAGCCTGACAGCCTCCCCAGGGATTCTGCTGCTGCTGCTGCTGCTGCTGCTTCTGCTGCTTCCTAGAGAGAAGGCAGAAATCACAAAATGAGGTGATAACTTCCTGGAGAGGGGAGGGAGTCAGTGCTCAGAGCCCAAGCAGGGCCCACAAATGGTGGTTTCTCGTGGCACAACAGGGAAAGGCACTTGGCTAAAGAGCCGATTCCCCTCCCTCCACTGTCCCTCTGAGCCTGGGTCACTTGGCCACCTTTGGGAGGTGGGGAAAAGGTCCAGACCCAGGAGGAGGGGAATGGGCACCCCTTCCCCCAATCTGGGCTTCTCCAGGGCCCGGGCTGTGGCAATCAGAGGGGTCTCAGAAAGGCAGGGCAGGCCCACTCCTCTCTCTAAGATCCCCCTTTCTTCCCTCAGAAAGCCGGAGTAGAGTGCATCATGAGGGATCTTCGAATCTTCCGCATTCTCGAGGGTACCAATGACATCCTCCAGATATTCGTAGCTTTGGCAGGTCTGCAGGTAACTCGTGCTCTTGGCCCTCCCGGTCATTTCCTCAGTGTGCAAAGCTCCTGGGGTGAAGCGCCCCCTCCCCTAGAGGACCTGGAGGGTCCGTGTGAATGTGCACCTATCAAGGAGCATGTGTATGCTCTCACTGCGTGCCAGGCACGGGAGACCAAAGATGGGCAAAGATTTCAGAGGAGGCCCACATTCAAGGAGCTTGATTTCTGTTCCTGTTTTCATTACATCCATTAGCACGCGGGGGCCCAACTACAGGAGCTTCAACACACCTTGGAAGACCCCTTGAACAATTCTTCAGTCCTTTTCACTGAACTTGGCCTCAGAGCAAAACGGTAGGGCTGGCGCAGCTGGCACGGCTGGCACTAGTTTGCCACTGTCTCCATCCACCTGGCAGCTGGGTTTGGCAGAGATGGTGTGGAGTGGAAGGCACTCCCCTCTGCCTTTCAGGGGTCAGAGCCCACAGCACACACCTCAGACCCTGTGGAGGCAAGGACAAAAATGAGAGAAAAGGGCCCCTCTCTGCTCAGGGAAGACCTCGGGCCCTGGGGCTGGATACTATGGAACAGAAAACATCATGTAAGCCCTTTAAAAAGAGCTCATCCTCATGGGTGGCTGCTAGCTGTTAACATGTCACCCCACCCACTTAGCAAGCACCATACTGAGCCTGTCCTCATGTGGCTTACAGTCTAATGAAAGATGAATTCAATCCATAAAACATTTCTTAAGCCCTCACTATTTTCAATGCGTACTTGAGTGGTAGAGACCAGAGACAGAATAAGGCACAGTCCCCGTCCTCGCAGTCTCCCGGCTTGTAGGGGGAAGATGTTTACACACGGACAACTATAGTAGTTTTGTATCTGAGAGATCGGCACCATCTGCCTTGGGATAATAGAGGGTGGGAATCAACACACAATTCTGGGAAAGAATAGCTCAGTTTTTCCCATAAAAAATTAACTATTAAAATAATGGCATAAATTATTAACTAACCTCTAGTTAGTAATAAAATAATGGACAATTTCTAAGATTTAGAGAAATGCAAACCCCTGGACCTCTTCTTAGCTAAACTTCCACTAAACAAGTGTTTCTTAACCTAGAGCTGGCTTTCCACCTTCTGCTTCAAGGAGCCAGGGTGTCTCTAGCATGGATTCATCCTACCTTCCAGGCTCTATGCCCCCCTCCTCTGGCCTCACCCTCATCGCAGCTCTGCCTCCTCATCATGGGCACCCCTAGGAGGAGACCCATTTCAACCACTACTTATGAACCCTGGCTGAGGCAGGCCAAGCTCACCCTTTCCACTCCCTGCCCCTGGGCTGATTCAGGCTGGTTCCGCCTCAGTTAGACACTATAGAGTAGGTGAGACTTTAGGGAGCTGCTCTGCTATAGGAGACTCCAAGATCTGAGTTGGATCCTGAGAAGCTTCGGAGCCTGCCTTGATTTACCTGATGGAATTAATCTGGATGACCCATGACAGGAGCCTGCCAGAGCTGATTTAATCCTTGTTTTCTTCTTCCAGCATAATATGGATACCAACAGGCATTTCCCTGGATGGAGTGGTCAGTGGACACCTGTTGGACACTGCAGGCCTGGTAAGATTTTCTTTAGCCATGGGGCAGCTTCTGAACAAGATTGGGATCTTCCCAACCAGACCAGGAAAGCCTGGCAGGCCCATGTGGCTGACTGGAGCTAGATAACTCACCTGTATCACCCTTTCCACACCCCTGAATCTAAAGCCATCTCCTGAGCTCTGTCCAAGCTTTCCAAATGCATGCTAGCTGCTTCCTTGGTGACTTCTGCCCCTGCCATGGATCAGGCCAGGGATTGAGAGCCCTCCCCCACCGTTCCAAGGTCAGCCCCTCTAGAACACTGTCCCCTCCTGGCTAGCCTCTTCTCCAATCCTGAATTCTCCTCAACATCCATGTTGGTGTTTTGGAGGCCATCCGTGGAGGCTTGGCAGGGGAGACTCAGAGGAGGAGAAGATAAGGCTAGTTGTAAGCCCTGGCACACCGCCTCAGGGAAGGAGAATGCTGAGTCCAGCTTGGAATGCGCACTCACTTGTGCAGACATTCAAGGCCCACACAGTGCTTCCTCCATCCATTTCAGGTCATTGGTGTGGCCATCATGCCCCTGAATCTATTCCTCGGTTTTTACCACTCTCTACCATACTCTCTGGATTCTTTTTTCTTACACCACCCTTGCTTTAATATGCATTTGATCATGTTTAGGATTCATCTCCTTAATTAACACAGCAGTAATCCCTCTTTGCTCTGGGTGTGCAAAGCAAGCTCTAGGGTCTCTGTGAGACATGGGGGACAAGGACAGAGTTGGGCTAATGAGCCATGAAGACGACCTCTGGCTTGGTAGGAAGGCGCTGCCATCACCCAGTTGGAAGCCCAATTGCACTTGGGGAAGTGTGGGCTGGTACAGAGTCCCCCGCTTGGTCGTCAGGAGTCTACAGGCTTTCATCACTGAACAGTGATGGGGGAACCTGGAAACTTCATGGAGTAGAAGCTGCCTAGGAATATGGTGGTCAAGGCCCCCAGCTGGACTAATATAGATAATGCCCCCAGTGGGCTGCCATGTTCAGTGTCCTGAGAGGGCTTAGATGGACGGTGGCCCCGGAGGGCTAACACAGGGCAAGCTAAAGTGGATGGTGCATGGGCCATGAGAAATGGCAATGCTGCTCTTCCCCAGGTAGGGCCTCTTGGTTACTGTAAGAAAGACATCCCCTGTGTGGCCATCTTTCTCATACAAAACCTGTCCTGACAAACTGACATCCTTCCCTTTCCTCCTTTAAAGGTGACCAAATGTGTGGATCTACTTTCAGAAGCTGTTGAGCACCTGCTCTTAAAATTTGGCACCCAAGTGACCCGTACGTCCTCTCACTTTTGCATATTGCATTGCTAACCCTTGTTCTGGGTACAGTTCGGGCTCTGACAGTTCTTGAAACTTCAGAAAGATGATTTTTTGAAACAAAAAGGGCAAGGTATTCTCTTCCTGCTCTTCATACAACATTCACTGCCCCTTCTCTGCCTCCCCAAAGTCATAAACTTCTCTGGTCCCCAGAGCTCCAGTGGTGGGCCCTTCCCAGCCTTTCAGACCTACAGAGGTGGGGAGGAGGAAAAGAGAACAGGGAGGGAGAAGAAGGAGGGAGGAAGGGGGAGAAGGGAAAGGGGAGAAAGAGGGAGGGAGGGAGAGGAGAGAGGAGGGGGGAGGAAGAGGAAGAAGAAAGCAGGAAGGAGAGAAGAGGGAGGGGAGGGGAAGAGGAATAGAGGAGGAATGAGGAAAGAAAAGAAGAGGGAGGGAAAGAGAGGGAAGGAGAGGAGGGAGGAGGGGGGAGGAAGAGGGAGAAGAGAGCAGGGAAGAGGGAAGAGGGAGGGGAAAGGGAAGAGGGAGGGAGGGAGGGAGAAGAGAGAGGGAGGGGAAGGAAGGAGGAGGGAGGAGAGCAGAGCAGGAGAAAGGAGGGAGGAGGGAGGACAAAAGAGGGGGAGAGAGAAAAGGGAGGAGGGAGGAGTTGGAGGGCACCTGCGCCTGCTTTGCTCTCAGCAGGGCAGCCAAGCCCCTCTGGGTTCCCTTCCAGATCATCAGTTTCACTTGAAGAGGATCGCAGATGCTGCTATTGACATCTACGCCATGGGGGTCGTGCTTTCCAGGTACTGACGGAGGGGAGGGTGCGAGAGCTGAGGAGACTCACGGAGCAGCCACCCTCAGAATGGAGGCAGAGCCCCTCATATGCACAGACATGCGCATGCATGCACACGTACACACTCTCTCTCTCACACACACACCTCTTCCTGCCTTTGCACACACATGTACACACGCTCTCTCTCTCTCTCTCTCTCTCTCACACACACACACACACACACACCCCTCTTCCTCCCTTTGCACCCACATGGTGGTGAGGGCACGGTGTGGACACTGGGTAGGAAACAACAGTGTGGGGAATCCCGGCGGCTCAGCTCATTTTGCCCAGCATTGGCCGAGGCTTTTTCGTGTCTTCAGTACTCACTGGGAGACAGAGAACGACCCAATCGCTGCTTCCCTTGGGGAGCGGCCAATCCACTGCCCCTTTCGAGGAAGGGCCCGTGGGAACGCCCACTCCTGGGGGGACCCATTCTCGTGGGGCTCCGCCTGGCCTCAAGGAGCGGATCCAAGGAGCCGGTCCTTTCTGAGGCGCTTCTCACCAGATAACATCAGTGAAGGAATCCAACCAAGAAAGAGATGTGGCAGCCGCTCTAGGCTTTTGGCAGGTGTCCTCAGGCTGGCCCTGCAGGTGCCCAAGGCCTCTGTGCACCGCAGGCTTAGCGATCAGAGGTGGGTCCACGACATCCGTGACTGCGCCTACATCTCTGCCAGACTCTTCCCTTCCACCTGCGCCCACAAGCAGCTCCTTGGCCCTCTTCCTCGTGGGCCATTGCTTCCACCACACGAGATGTGCAGGCTCACGAGGACTGGGCTTCTGGGCTAGTACCGAGTAGCCAAAATAAATCTGAAGTCATGTCCGATGTGGAGAGCACCTAGCTAGGCTTCGTGGAAGGGGGCCTGAGCCAGACCTTGCAAGGAGCTGGGGTTTCCAAGAAGTAGAGATGACGAGGAAGGAGAGGGCACCACAGGCGTGGAACGCCACAGAGGCAACAGCGTGGAGGTGGAAGATGGGACATTGTGCACAGAAAACCACAATAGACCAGGTTTACTGGAAGGTAGTGTGCGAGAGCAGAAGTCACAGGAGGTCAGTCAGCTGGGAAAGAGGCTGAGCCAGGCGGGAGGGGCTTCGAAGGCCAGAGCAAAGAGCTGGTGTTCATCCTGCAAGAAATGGGAAGGGGACCTCAAGGGAATGGCCTGGTCAGACTGGATCTAGATGGCCAGCTCAGCTGCCACCCCATGGCCGTGCCACCCCGAGGCTGCGCGTGGGAAACCTGGGGCACCCGCAGGAGGGCAGACGGAGTGGGAAAGAGCCTCAAATTCTTGCTCTCTGAGCATCAGTTGAAGGAAGGGACATTTAGCCTGGACAAAGGAAGCCTCAGCGGGACTTTCTTCAAGAATGTGAAGGACAGTCATATGGAAAAGGGATTATACATCTGCTCTCACCCACAGAAAGCATTAGAAGCAATGGGTAGAAATGGCCAAATGGCAGCTCTAAATTGGATGTCAGGAAACCTTGTAAAGGTGAAGTGGGCCTCCTTCTTAGGTAGCGAGCTTCCCATCACTGGAAGTCTCCAAGCACAGGTGAAGTGACCAGTCATAGGTGTGCTAGACAGGCAGTACTCACTCCAGTGTTGGCTGATTAGACGTGTCAGGAGGTCTCTTACTGCCCTGAGAGCCTGGGATTCTACAAAGCTAATGGGCACAAGGTCATGCCTCACTCAAGGTCAAGCGAGACCAGAGTCCCAAGTCCAGGCTAGAGCTCTTTGCCTCACACCTCACCCGACAATGACATCCCAGATGACCTGTGAATTTCCCAACAGAGCCAAATCCGGAGGGTGCCAAGAGTGCTAAACTAAGGAGGCATAAATGATCAAGAATCCAGGCGGGTCCCACCCTGGCTATGCTGAGAGCCATTCTCCTGCAAGTGAAGGAGGCCAGGAGTTCAGCCAGTCCCTCCCGGTACCCAGCAATGCCCTCACCACGGTCTAAGAACTCCCTGATCCTGCCCCAGAACAAATCACTTCTTCACTCCCCTCCAGGCACCCTTGGGGAGCAGCGTTTGCCTCACAGATTGCCTGGCAGAGCATCCAGAGCTCATCTAGCAGCCTTCCCTTGAACTGTGGCTCCGGGTCATTAAGGTCCTACAGGTCAGAAGCATTTCATGCCAACAATTTTATCTCAAAACGCAACCTCCTGCTGCTGGAAATCTGACCACACACAGTACTTCACCTGAGGTTCTCTGACCAGCACAACGGGACCAACTGAATGACGCAGAGGAGACGTTTCACTCTGGGGACTCGTTGAACCAATCTAACCTCAAGAAAGGTCTGCGCCCCTGTGGGTAGATGGTCTGTAAAAGATTTTGGGGAGGACGTAGACAAGAATCACCCAGCCTAGAAGGACCCTTGGAAGGAGTGCCCAAAAGATATGAGGGAGAGGCAGCGGGGAGGAGAAAGGGCACTGCCCCCATACACTTGCCGGACACTCCCACTGCCCGCCTCTTGCTGGGAGAATTCTAATCAAATCGGCTGCTTTTGGAAGGGTAGGCAAAGACTGAACTCACCATCCCAGGACAAAATTCCCTTCTCTGGCCACCTCTTCTTTCTCTGTGTTGCTTCCTCCTGTTAGAATATGAGCTCCTTGGGGCAGGGCCTGGGGCTGTCTCCCTTGGCACACAGAGAGCTTCCAGATCTCCCTTCGTGGCAAAGACTGAGCTGTCCTTGGTTCATTTCCGTCTGTGGGCATTTCTGATGTGGTCATGGATGGCACTTTAGTGCTCTGAGGCCTGAATTTCACCATTGCAGGGGGTGGGGGGGGTAGGGAGAGCGGTGACCAGTCCATTGTGCAAATGGAAGGCCCTTCTCTGAGTCTCTCTGAAGCTGTTGGCACTGGGATGCACCTTCCACTGTGGAGCCCTTTCATGCTAAGCCAGCTTGACCTTCTGGAGGCAGAGGCAGTTATGGAAGACACTGAATTTGTGCTTTCAAAGACAAGCTGCCTGCTAAGTGGTGCAGTGGACAAGAGCACCAGCCCTGGAGTCAGGAGGACCTGAGTTCAAATCCAGCCTCAGACACTTGACACCCACTAGCTGTGTGACCCTGGGCAAGTGACTTAACCTTGATTACCTTACCAAAAAAAAAAAAAGGCAAAAAAAGTGTAATCACTGCCAAAATGCTTTCCAGTTTAAAGAAATTTTTTTAAAAGCAAAAAAAAAAATAAAAATAGAACTGGCACCAAACAAACAAACAAACAAACCTGCCTAAAACCTCTGTTAACACAGGAGAATTAATAAACAAAGGCAGATCCTTAGTGAAAATATTCAAGGAATCCCCAAGCTCTGGGGAGGAGTCCCTACCTCACAGAACCACTGATGGTGACCGGTGTTGCCTCCATCTAATTGTTCCATTCTCTAGCCTACCTACCCCTCTCCACCTTCTCCACGAGAATAACACGAGAGATTAGCACAGGCTGAAACACTTGGCTAACCTGCTGCTTTCCTCCACCCATACTCCCTCAAGATGGAAAAGCAAATATCTATTAGACTCTGCTGATGCTAACTTGAATGTGTCATAGTGGTCTCCAAGGGACACTGTGCTCTCCTGGGCTCTGGGAGGGAAGCCTGAGGTCAGGAGAGCAGTCTGGCCAAACGGAAAGGGCTCTTCACAGGCGGGCTGCATGAAAAGCCTAGCACAGCATCACCAGGATCTGGGATCTGGCCCAGCCAATGAAAGCCCAGAACTGAGGAGCACGGAGATATGTAGAACCTTCCCATCCTAACTGGGTCTGGGGGCTCTGTTCCTTCTAGGGCAACGCAGTCACTGAACCACAACCTCCCTTCAGCCTTACATGAGAAGCTGCTGTGTGAGTCCTGGTGCTATAAGGTAGGACAGGCTTCCTTTGCCCCAGCCCCACCTGCTGTCTGTTGTCTCTCCCTTCAGAAAGGGGTTCACACTTTGGCTTCTTCTACAAAATAGTCCAGGCTCCCATGATTCCAAGGAGCAGGGATGCAGGTCAGATGCAGCTCCTTTCTAAGAGATCCGTCTATGAGCACTTGTGAGGCCCCCCTACATGCCAGAAACTACGTGCTAAGTGTACCAGGACCTGCCCTCAGAAGGCTTACACTCAATTATAGGAAATAGTTACATATTAAAGTATATATGAATATAAATGGACTATAAGATAACTAGATCCAAAGACAAGGCAGGAAGATGTGTGGGGGAGGGGGAGGATCAAACTGGTAGTGCCTGAGCAGCCTCTTAAAGAAAGAGGAAGACTCTGCCATAACTGAAGTGTCAAACAACACCCCTGAGCACAGCCTAATGACAATGCATCTGGGAAACGGTTCACAACATAAGTGAAAATGCAAAATAACGAAGCAGCTAGGTGGCACGGTGGAGACAGCACTGGCCCTGAGGTCAGGAGGACCTGAGTTCAAATGAGGCCTCAGACACATGATATTCACTAGCTGTGTGACCCTGGGCAAGTCACTTAACCCCGATTGCCTCACCAAAAAAAAGAAAATACAAAACAACATAGATGACATACATTTGTGACTTTCTAAGTCAATGCATGGCCTGCATTTCTGTTCAACTCTGACACCACTTTGTATGAGGAGGGCCCCACCCCCGGCTCGAAGGGGCAGATGCCTATGTTCCGGGCAGAGCAGAGAAGGCCAGTTTAGCTGAATCCTAGGAAGGGGAATCATGTCCAATGAGGCTGGAAAGACTGGCTGGGGACAGATTGGGTAGCTTTTTGTAAACCTGCTCTGAACCAAGTGATTTAGAGCCCCCTGCCATGGGAGGATTTAAGTTCTGAGCTGGCTGCCTTCCCAAGAGAAATGGGTGCTTGGTGTGCGTATGTGTGTGTGCATGCTCGTGTGCGTGTGACATACAATGGTGGCTAATGTTAATTAACAGACTATGTAAGCAGTTTAGCTGCTGAACTGAGAAGGGATGGAGGCCTCTCTCTCTCTCTCTCTCTCTCTCTCTCTCTCTCTCTCTCTCTCTCTCTCTCTCCGTTAGGCCTCTGAACGCGTCCGATGGAATCTCAAGGCAGTGAAAGCCTCGAGTTGGAATTGCTACTACCAGAACATGAAGTCTATCACTGATGAAGTTGTGAGGACTGGAGGAGTCTTATATCCTCGCCCCATGGGCTTCTGAGAAGGGATTTATCTCCTGAAGTACACCTGAGGCTGGACTCTACCCAAGCACTTAGGGAGAAGCTAGCTAAATAATAAGATTACAGGTTCTTACCTAGGTCATTGGCTGTGAGAAATTGAAGCTCAAAATCTGGACTGCTGTGCTCAAGTCTTTGGCTTTCTGGGTGTTCTGGCTCTACAAGCCCCTCACTTGGAAAGCCCTGTACTAGGCGCTGCGAAATGCCTTGGAGGAGCTGAAAATGAGGACATTTCTTGGACTCATTTTGTTTCTAACCAAAGTTTACTTTGGAAACATTAGCATTTGACTCATATCTGGATGTCTAAAACAAAAAAAGAGTCCTCAGCTCCCATGCAAGCACTCAGGCTGACAAAGCATTAATATAGGACAGGCTTTATTTAGCCCAACAAAAAATGCAAAGGACTCAACACTCAAACATAGAAATCAGCAAGAGAACTCTATTACCCCACCTGATTTGTCCAACTTCCCCAGGTATTTTGAATGGTGACCAGAACTTAGGGTCTTACCCTGAGGTTGAGGTCCCCCTAGAAAGGGAAAGAACTCATGATTGCTCAGGATTAAATCAACCTTCTGCTGAGTCCCACCTCTCAGGGATTTCCTGAGTTACCCAGATTTAAAGCGCCACCCTGAATGGAGCACCTCCCCCATAACGGAGAAAAGCACTTGGGGCCGCTCAGGTCAGCCCCTTCCCCTTGACCTGCACAGTGCACAGGAAAGACGAGGGGGTTGCTTCTCCTCATCTCGGCTCTGTATTGTGTTTCACCGCGGCTCCAATGCCTACTTAGTCTCAGAGGCCTTCTCTGTGCTCCAGGGACTCCCCTTCCCCACCTGCCACAGAAACAAGCTACATATGTCTCTGCAACCTCCTACCGGTCTCTCTCGCCTCCAGTCTTCAGCTCCCAAGAGTATGGCTCAGGCACAGGAGAGGCGCCATGGGGAAGAGCACGGAGACTAGAGTCAGATGGTGCTGGCTCAGCCCTGCTTCTGCCCCTGGGACCTCAGGCAGCAGAAGCAGGTTTGTGTTCAGATGCACCTGTCGGGCCTGGAGCACGTGACATCATTAACCTCCCAGGCCTCCGTTTCCTTCTCTGAAAATGGAGGCATAGACGAGTGGTCTTCTGAGGTCTTTCCAGGTCCATATCTGCACGTGACCTCTCCAGGCCTCTGCTTCCTCATTGGTCAAGTGGAGGTGGGGGTATCAGCACACGTTTATATAGTGCCTGCAGTTACAAAGATGATCTCTGACGTTCCTTTCCCTCCAGATCCACAGCTGTAAGCCCTCTCAGCCTCAGTTTTCTCATCTGTAAAGTGGGGGGGTGAGAGTGGGGAAGACTAGAAGGTCTCTGAGCCTCTTTCAGCTCTCTCAGCCTCCGACACTGCTTTCCTTCACTTTGCCTCCCCAACAACAGGGTAGGACCAAGCCTGAAGCATCCCTCCTCCCCTGCCCTGGGACTGTGACACACAGGAGTTCAGCTCCTACAGGCTCCTCTCTGAGGGTCTCTGGCCTCGAATCCCTTGCAGGATTTCAGAGACCACCAGAGGATTCTCTGGCCTCCATTGTTCCATTGGCCAACAAAGAGCCCCACACGGCTCGACTCTGAAAATAAAAGTGTCTTCTCCAGAGGCCGAGGGGTGGAGGGGCCCCACGGAAGCTGCCAAAGCCTCGTCCCTCCTGATCATCAGGTTCTCTTTTGTCCAGGAGAACTGAGGGCTCTTTGAGGGCCGCAGAGGATGCAGACACTGGGGCCCTGTGAGGGCTGCGCCCTGCCCGGGTTGCCCCTGCACACTGGGCCATTCTCTGAGAAACCCAAGAGCGTGACCGCAGTAGCAGCAGCCTGACAGATTGTGGTTTGGTTCGGTTTGAATGGAAAGATGAATTTCCAAAGGGCAGATAGCTCACCCAGGCCTTTCTGCGTGGTGGTGAGGCCACTTCTGGACCTTCGTGGGACCCGGCCTCTACCTGTGGCAGTCCTTTCTCCATTCATTCATTCAGCATTAACTTAGTGCAAGGACCCACACAAAGTTACTACAAATAATGAAAACTGTACAGATTTCTGGGGTGATTCAAGGTCTTCAAAGTGCTTCCTTGAGACAATTCTTCCAAGGTATTCTCCCCATTCTACGGATCACAGAGACCAAGTGACTTGCCTGTGGTCATACAGCTACTAAGTTGCAGAAGCAAGACTAGATCCCAACTCTCCTGACTCTCCTCTCCCATGATTCCATCCTCTTCAAGAGTGTTGAAAATTATAAAGTCAGTCAGTAAACATTTATTAAGCCCCTACTATATACCAGGCAATATTTTAAGGGATAGGCAAATAAAAAGAGGCACAAGACAGTCTCTGCCCTCAAGCAGCTCACAATCTAATGCAGGAGACAATACACAAGCACATATACACAAAGCAAGCTATGGACAGGATAAATAGGAAATAACAGGCTTCTTATAGATAATGGAATTTTAGTTGGGACTTAAAGGAGGCCAGGGAGGTCAGCATTTGGAGAGAAGGAGGGAGAGCATTCCAAGCAGGGCGACAGCCAGAGAGAATGCTTAGAGCCCAGAGATGGAGGGTCTTATTTGAGGAGCAGTCAGGAGACTGGGGGCACTAGATCAGAGTATGTGGGGGGAGTAAGGTATAAAGAGACTGGAAAGGAAGGGGGCAGGTTATGAAGGCCAAACCGAGCATTTTGTATTTGATCCTGGAGGTCAGGGGGAACCCCTGGGGTTCATTGAGCAAGCAACCAATATAGTCAGACCCACACTGTAGGAAAATCACTTTAGTGACCAAAGGATGGACTGAGATGGAGAGAGATTTGAGGCAGGCAGGACCCCTCCCCCAGCAGCTATTGCAAAAGTCCAGGCATGAGGTGATGAGGGTCTGCACCAGGAAGGGGCACGGTCAGAGGAGAGGAAGGGGCTATTGGAGAGATGTTGCAAAAGTGAAACTTACATGAAATCAGAAAAGAGATGTTGCAGAAGTGAAATCAACAAGAGATAGTGCACAGGTGAAATTGACAACAGAGGCTTCAGAGGTGCAATCAACAAGAGGTGTTGCATGGGTGAAATTGATAGGCTTTGACTATAGCTTGCACCTAGGGGTTGAGAGAGTGAGTCCAGGAAGTCCTGGGTTGGGAGAACCTAAGGGTCTGGGAAGGTAGGAGGAGGGGAGGGTTTAGAGGGGAAAGATAATAAATCCTGTTTTGGACATTTTGAGTTTAGGATGTCTACTGTACGTCCAGTTTGAGATGTCTGAAAAGCGATTGTAGATGAAAGAATGAAGGTCGACAGAGAGACTGGGGGCAAGATAGGTAGATTTGAGAACCATCAGCTCAGAGATGGTCATTAAATCTATGATGAGGTCACCTGGTGAAGGCATCTAGAGGGAGAAGAGAAGGCCCAGGATAGACTCTGGGGGTCACCATGGTTAGAGGGCATGATCTGGAGGAGGATCCAGCCAAGAAGACAGAGAAGGAGCAGTCAGAGAGGGAGAACCAGGAGAGAGAGAGCGAGAGAGAGAGAGAGAGAGAGAGAGAGAGAGAGAGAGAGAGAGAGAGAGAGAGATCCTGAAAACCAAGAGAGAGGAGAGTATCAAGGAGGAGACAGTGATCCACAGTTCAAAGATGGAGAATGAGAGCTGAAAAAAGGGTTGGGACAGCCATGTGAGGCACTGGATAAGGGTCAGAGGATGTGCCCCCAGGAATCTGAGCATAGTCCCATACTGTGGAGCATTTGTATCAGTGTCTCTCGAGAAAGCAGAGATGGGCTGCTCCTCTATTTTTCTTAATATTTTATTTTCCCCCAATTACACATAAAAATAATTTTTAACATTTTTTAAGTTTAGAGTTATCCCTCCCTACCCTCCACTCTCCCTGAGACTGTAATCAATCTGATATAGGTTTTACATGTGCAATCATATACATTTCCATATTAGTCGTTTTGTGCAAGACAACTCAAACCAAAAAAAAAAAGAAAAACAAGAAAGAAAGAAAGTGAAAATAGCCTGCTTCAGTCTGCATTCAGACATCAGCTCTTTCTCTAGAGGTGGATATCTTTTTTCATCAAGAGTTCTTTGGGATTGTCTTGAATCACTGTATTGCTGCGAATAGCTAAGTCATTCACAGTAGATCATCATACAGTATTGCTGTTACTGTGTACAATGTTCTCCTGGTTCTGTTCACTTCACTTTGCATCAATTCATGCAAGTCTTCCCAGGTATTTCTGAAATAATTTTGTTTGTCATTTCTTATAGCACAATAATATTCCATCACAATCATAAACCACAACTTATTCAGCCATTCTCCAATTGATGACCATCAATTTTCAATTCTTAGTTTCCATAAAAAGAACTGCTATAAATATTTTTGTACAAATTTTGTACAGATAAGTCCTTTCCCCTTTTTTTAGATGTCTTTGGGATATAGACCCAGTAGTGGTATTGCTAGATCAAAGGGTATGCACAGTTTTACAGCTCTTTGGGCATAATTCCAAATTGCTCTCCAGAATGGTTGGATCAGCTCACAACTCTACCACTAATGCATTAGTGTCCCAGTTTTCCCACATTCCCTCCAACATCCAACATTGTCCTTTTTTGTCACATTAGCCAGTCTGATAGGTGTGAGGTGGTACCTCAGAGTTGTTTTAATTTGCATTTCTTTAATCAATAGTGACTTGAAGCATTTTTTCATATGACTGTAGGTAGCTTTAATTTCTTCCTCTGAAAACTACCTGTTCATATCCTTTGATCATTTATCAATTGGGGAATGACTTGCATTCTTATAAATTTTACTCAAGTTCTCTATATATTTGAGAAATGAAGCCTTTATCAGAGGTACTTGCTGTAAAAAAATGTTCCCAGATTTCTTTCTAATTTTGGTTACATTGGTTTTGTTCATGCAAAACCTTTTAAAATTTTTTTTTAGGCAATTGGGGTTAAGTGACTTGCCCAGGGTCACACAGCTAGTAAGTGTCGTGTTTGATCTGAGGCCAGATTTGAACTCAGATCCTGTGCTCTATGCACTGCACCACCTAGCTGGCCCCAAAACCTTTTTAATTTAATGTAATCAAAATTATCCATTTTATATTTGTAATGCTCTGTATTTCTTGTTTGGTCCTAAATTCTTCCTTTATCCATAGATCTGACTATTCCATGTTCTCCTAATTTGCTTATGGTATCCTTTATATCTAAACCATGTGCCCATTTGTACCATATCTGGGCATACAGAGTGAGATGTTGGGCTCTACCTAGTTTCTGTCATACTGTTTTCTAGTGTTCCCAGCAGTTTTTGTCCAATAACGAGTTTGTCCCCAAAGCTCAGATCTCTGGGTTTATCAAACACTAAATCACCGGGCTCCTTTGCTACAGTGTATTGGGTACCTACTCTATTCCACTGATCCACCACTCCACTTCTTAGGTAGTACGAGATTGCTCTGATAATTACCGATTCATAATACAGTTTGAGACCTGGTGGCTGGGCCACCTTCCTTCACATTTTTTTTTAGACTCCCTAAATGTTCTTGACCTTTTGTTCTTCTAGATGAATTTGGTTATTTTTTCTAGCTCTATAAAATAATATTTGGTAGTTTGGTTGATGTGGCACTGAAAAAATAGATTAATTTAGGTAGAATTGTCACTTTTATTATATTGGCTTGGCCTACTCATGCCCCTTCATCAAATTTGCAGGTGACAGTGACATGGGAAGGGTAAATACAAAGTGGACGACAGAATCAGGATTCAAGAAGATCTTGACTGGATAGGAAATTGCACCAAATCTAGTAAGACTAAAATTGATAGGAGTAAATGAGAAGTCTTACGCCAGGTTCAAAAGAATCAACCTTACAAGCACAAGATGGAGGAGGTATGGTTGGCGGGCAGTTCATCTGAAAAAGATCTGAGAGTTTTAATGGACCACAAACTCCATAGGAGTCAGCTGTGTGATGTGGTTAATTCAGTTTGGGACTGCATTAAAAGAGGCATCACTTTCAGAAATAATCTGGGCCTTTACTGTAGGGGGTAATCTTTCTCCTACTCCCCAAATAATTGTCTCTTGCATTCCACATAGCTGCTATTGTCAGACTTCTCTTTTGGCCTCAAGCCTCCCACACCTGCCTGACTCTTCTTCCACCTTCACCCCTCTCATATAATCAATTGGAAGTCAATTCCCACTCACCTCGCCTCCATCCTTCGGGTCCTCGTCACCTTGGGCCTGGCCTGTTGAAGTGGCTTCCTCAGCTGCTAAAGCCTCCGATCTCTCTCCCCTCCAGCTGCCACACTGATGTTCCTGAAGCACAGATCTGACCACATCACTCCCCTCCTCATGAATCCAGTGGCTCCCCATTGCTTCTAGCTTGGCATTTAAAGCCCCCTACCCCTCCCTCCCCTGGCTCCTACCTACCAGGAGCTCTCTCTGGGTGAAGAAGAGGACTGCTCTTCATGCACTGCCACACTCAGCACACCCTTCTAGGCTGTGAGCAGGCACAGAATGAATGCTTGTGGTTTGATTCACTGACTTGCCTCTAGAGGGGGGAGTTGGGGTGTGCTGGTGTTTAATAACCTGCTCTGTATTACCCATATCTTCTTTAATTAACAAAACAAGACATCAGACTCTGATTTATAGTGTTTGCCAACTTCTGAAGTGTAAATGCTCCCACCAAACATTTAACAAATGGCTCTCCCCAACCCCAAAAAGCTGACTCCCGCCGGCAGCCTCCAGGGAGGCCCAGTACCTACTGAGACAGCCCCTTCCACTTTTGGACCACTCTTGCTGTTAAGAATTTGGGAGTATCCTCCCAAGGAGGAAAGGAGGGGAAAATAGGGTATGTTAAAGGCCTTCTGCACCAAAGGGGACTCTGAGCAGGGATTTTACTACTTAGCCATACCCATTCATCAGAACTGTACTGGCAGATACCCAAACCAGGCAGGGATGGCCGATAAGGAAGTTGCCGGAAAGACCTTAAGCTCGTCAGCACAGTGACACAGTCACCAACGTCCCAGAACGCGGTGGCTACAGCCATTTCTGTGGGCCACGCTTCAGCCTTGTTATTGCCTGGAGCCTGGGGGGCCACTCAGGAGGAGCTGAGCCAGGCCAAGCCCATCCCCCTCCATCCTCTGCCCCCTTCACCAGGCTGCTTTCTTCAGTCAGTCAACATTTATTAGGGTCAGATCAAGTCAATTCAGATCAGTTCGATTTTACCAGCACTGATTTAGTACCTCCCATACACCAGGCCCCTTTCTGGGGATACAAGGGAAAAGGTGGGACAGGTCCTGCACCCAGGCGGGATGTCCAGAGCTGACTTTTTGCCAGGGGACAGAGGTGGGAGGGACAACTCATATGTGCAGTCAGTCCTAAGCACCAGGAAGTCATTACGAGAGGGAGGAATGGGGTGGGGGTGAGCCTGGACTCGTATCTCCCAGTGAGGAGCCCCGCCTGAACCTCCAGTGATCCCACGTGGACTCCAGATGCCTCTTCTCAGCCTCCCCCTCCCTGCCCACCCCACCCATCGTCCTGCCCTTTTCAGAACCACCAGAACTCAGGAAGGTCCCTCATGGTCCGACTCCGCCAGGAACAAAACCCCGCCAACAACTGGCGCAATTCCGAAAGACCCGTGATGGGAAATGACGAGCTCGTCCAGAGGAAAAGCCAGCGTCTGAATGCAGATCGCAGCAGACTGTTTTCACTTTTCCATTGCTTTTGTTTTCTCATGGTTTTCCCCTTTTGTTCTGATTCTTCTTTCACAACATGACTAATGTGGAAATATGCTTAATATGATCGTACCTGTGTAACCTCTATCAGATCGGGGAGGGGGAGGGGAGGGAGAAAAATTTGGAACTCAAAATTTTATAAAAATGAAGGTTGAAAACTATCTTTACATGTAATTGGAAAAAAATAAAATACTATTGAGAAAAAAAAATTTTTAAATAAATCTGTGGATGTAAGCTATATCCAGATTATCTTAAAAAAAAAACCCAACCCAACTGGCACGTGAAGACAGGCAGTGTGGGAGCCCACACCTGGGGAGGCACCCACTCTGCTGTAGTACCTGTAGAAGTGACCTCCCCTTTGTCACCAGTCACACCAGCTCTACCCTCGAGGGCTCACAGGGGAATGTATTTCATCTTCTACCAGGTCGCCCTTGAGATGCTGCGAAACAGCTGTCACCACGTCACTCAACCAAGAAGCATTTATGAAGCACCTACTATGTGTCTGCCGCACCAGGGGAAGCCCTGAGTTGGTGGTCTCCTCTTTATCCCCCCAGGGCTTTTCTCGTCCAGTCAATCCCCTCCAGGTCCTTCAACCAAGCCCCCTCCTCTGCAGTCACAGGATGTCACAGCTACAAAGCACCCACCTCCGATCATTTTGTCTGTTGTACAGATAAAGAAACTGAGGCCTAGAGAGGGGAAGGAACTTGCTCAACAGCACACAGCAGGTTGGTTGTCAGAGCCAAGTCTTGAACCCAGGTAACGATGAGGACGATGATGATGATGACAGCTAATGTATGCGTATATTTACATGGAGAAAGAGACAGAGAGAAAAGGAGGGAGGGAGGGAGAGAGAGTTAGAGAGACAAACAGAGAAAGAGACACAGAGAGAGACAGCAAGAGAGACAGCGAGAGAGAGAGAGGGAGACAGAGAGGAAGAGATACAGAGAGAGACAGACAGAGACAGAGAGACAGAAAGAGGGAGAGAGACAGAGACAGAGAGAGAAAGAGAGAGAAAGAGGGAGAGAGACAGACAGAGACAGAGAGAGAAAGAGACACAGAGAGAGACAGACAGAGACAGAGAGACAGAAAGAGGGAGAGAGACAGACAGAGACAGAGAGACAGAAAGAGGGAGAGAGACAGAGATAGAGAGAGAAAGAGAGAGAGACAGAGAGAGAAAGAGGGAGAGAGAGAGAAAGAGAGATATAGAGAGAGAGACAGAGAGAAAAGGAGAGAGAGAAAGAGGGACAGAGGGAGGGAGACAGAGTTAGAGAGACAAACAGAGAGAGACAGAGAGAGACAGACAGAGAGAGAAAGAGAGAGACAGAGACAGAGACAGCGACAGACAGAGAGAGAAAGAGAGATATATATAGAGAGAGAGACAGAGAGAGGAGAGAGAGAGAGAGAGAGAGAGAGAGAGAGAGAGAGAGAGAGGAAGGGAGGGAGCGAGGGAGGGAGAGATCTTTCAGGTCCACAAAGCGTTTTACAAAAATTGTCTTATTTAGTCCTCACAAAAACTTTGTGAGTAGAGGCTGTTATCCCCATTTTACAGATGAGTAAACTGAGGTAGTCAGAGGTAAAGTCACTTGCCCAGGGTCACACAGGTAGTAAATGTTTGAGACTAAATTTGAACTCAGGTCTTTGGGACTCCCAGTCTGCCACCCTAGTTCCTAAGGCCCCCAGCAGTTTCTTAGGTCAGTGCTCTTTCCATAGGAACTCCAGGCCCTCCTCCACACTGGTTGCCCTCCTCTGGATGCTCTTTAGCTCCTTATGTCCTTCCTGGATGATGGTGCTCAGACTGACCAAGATACTCTTGCTGTGACCTGGTCAGAGCAGGGAATGGAAGAATTGGCACCAGCCTAGGCCTGGACACTCAGCTGCATCACTAAATGCAGCCTAGATGGTCGGAGGCCACATCCCATTCCAGACTCCTACTGAGCTTGCTGTCCACTGAAACAGTCAGGTTGTTTTCAGACAAGCTGCTACCTCTTCTGGTCCTGGGAGCTCTATGAGGGATCAGGAAAGCTCAGTGGATACCGTCCTGTTCTCAGAGGCAGAAAGCCCTTGGTTTGAATGTTGTCTCTGACAACAGTTATTAGGCCCTCTCAGCCTCAGTTTCTCCATCTGTAAAATGGTGGTTATGATACCTGTAAGTATTAGGTTGGTATAAGGCTAAAGTGGGAAAATGGACAGAAAGCACTTAGCAAGTCTTAACCCACAGCTGAGACGTCTCCACTTGCTGTCATCTCCACAGATTCAGCCCATCCTTCCACATCCCCGGGCGACTCCCTCTTCCCTGGGTTAGCCAGCCCTCCCAGATGTGCGCCCCTCCCGGCTAGCTCTGATAAGTGCATCGTCTTGGTCTTTAGCCTCATGGCTGATAAGCAGTGTAAGGTCAAAGACAGATCCCTGTGGTACTTCACTGAACACCCTCCTTCTAAGGTGATGATTAACTATCATTAATTATTCGATCCATTCCAAAATCCACCTAACTGGGCTCTCCCCATCTGGCCACCTCCTGCACAAACCGCCCAGAGCAAGAGGGTCTTCGTCAAATCCCCACGGGACATGGAGAGGAAGTGGCTTGACTTTTTCCAGGGTCACCTAGGAAAATCCCCTTTACAGACTCAAGATTTTGTCTACATGGCACGCATCAGCATCATCTCTTCACTGTCCCATGACCAGCTTCCTAGTTCTTTGAATAAGGGTCTTATTCCTGTTCTTAGGAATAGAGCAAAAGTGAAAAACAAATACCAGCTGTCCGAAAACAATGAAGTCAGCACGGAGATTTGGAGTTGGGCCGAGCCCTCATCTTGCGAGAATGAAATGGGAGGGCCTGTGGCCAGATGGGAAGGCTTTGAGTTGGCAGCCCAGAAGCCAGAGGGACCCACAGAACAGCACTTTGTCTTCCCTCCAGGAAACAGCTGTGAGAAAGAATGAAAAGGGAGGGACGCCTAGAAGAAAGCCCCTGTTCTCTGGTCACACACAGATCTGAACGGGAGGTGCCAGAGGACCTGGGGTGGGGGGAGTATCTGTCAGAGCTTATAAAAGACCAGAGCAGAGCCCACCCTGGGATCGGCTTCTCCACACTGAGCACTTGGCCAGCGCCCTACAGAACCGGCCGGCAGACCACAGCAAAGGTATGCGTTTGTGAGTATGATCGAAAAGCAGGCCAATAGGAGAAACCGAGGCACTCTTCCTGCAGGACTGTTTGGCCATCCTCTCCTTTCCCAGGAGACTGTCACCTAGCCAGGCACAGGCATCCCAGTCCTGGCCGGACTGTGGTGGTCATCTGAACCACAGCTATGATGAGGATGAGAAGTGGAGCTTGGGGAGAAAAGCTGTCCATCTGTGAGGACATGGGGGTCTTTGATGCCTATGATATAGAGGCAATGCCACACAGTCAAAAGCGCCCTGGCTCAGGAGTCAAATCCCACCTCTGACAGCTACTACCTGTGTGACTCTGAGCACGTCAGTCACTCAGTCGATAAGAACTTATCAAGCACCTACTGTGTGCCGGGCGCTGTGCTAAGTGCTAGGGATACAGAAAGAAGCCAAAGACAGCCCCTGCCCCCCAGGAGCTCACAGTCCAAAGGCAGGAAGAAACAAGCAAACGGCTGTGTACAGACAGGATAAGTGAGAGCCACCAAAGGGAAGGCCCTGGAATGAAGGGGACTGGAAAGGCTGCCCGCAGGAGGGGGAACTAGCTGGGAACTGAAGGAGGTGAGGAGGGAGTGCATTCCAGCATGGGAGCCAGCCAGAGGAAATGCGGGGGCCAACGTGGAGGAGCTTCTGATTGGGGGGAAGGGCTGGCGGTCAGGGTCACTGGACAGATGGATGCCTGGGGCTGGGGGAGGAGATGCCACAGCCTTTGGCAAGGGGGGCCAGGAAGCCGGAAGGGGGAAGAACTTTCAAAGCCAACTGGAGGATTTTCCATTTGATCCTGGGATAACAGGAAGCACTTGGAATTTATGGAGTAGAGGAGTAACACGATCAGAAGTGGGTGCCAGGAAAATCCCTTTGGTGGCTGAGTGGAGAAGGGCTGGTGCGAGGAGGGCTGTGGGAAGGCAGACCCCCCACCAGGGGTGTGAGAGCGAGGGTCTGCACCAGGACCAGAGCAGGCTCAGAGGAGAAGAGGGGTGCGTTGCAGGGGAAACCCCAGGGCCTGGGCAGTAGCTCGGATGTGGGGAGGCAGCGGCTGAGAGATCAGCCGTCCGAAGAGGGCCGCTGTGTGGGGAGCCTCGGGACCGGGAGGAGAGGAGCAGGGAGATGGGGCGTGGAATGCTGTCTTCAGGGCAGCGGGTTCGAGATGCCGGAGAGGCAGCTGGAGATGTGAGTCTGGACATGCAGGAAGAGAAGCAGACTGGGGAGCCATTGGGTGCTTCCTTTCCTCTCCCTCTTTTTAACAGTCTAAAACCCGGCTTCTGACCTTGGCATTCCACAGAAAGGGTTCTCTCCAAAGCGACCCGTGACCTGTTGGCAGCTAGGTGGTGCCATAGTGCACAGAGTGGACCTGAGTTCAAATCCAGCCTCATACACTTCCTAGCTGTGTGACCCTGGGCTAGTCACTTCACCCTGTTTGCCTCCGTTTCCTCACCTGTAAAATGAGCTGAAGAAAGAAATGGCAAACCGCTCTGCTATCTCTGCCAAGAAAACCCCAAATGGGGTCACTGAGAGTCACAAAGACTGAAGTGCAACAAAGGTAGAGATGATAATTAAATCCATGGGAGCTGACGACATCACCAAGCGAAGCACCAGAGAGAGAAGGCCTGAGGGACGGCTGGCGTGAGCTGGATGAAGACTCGGCAGAGGAGATGAGGAGAAGGGTCAGATGGGCAGGAGGGAACCGGAGGGTGTCCTGAGCGGCCAGCAGCGTCTGAGGCCCTAGAGAGGTCAAGAAGGAAGAGGCCTGAGCGAAGGCCGCTCGCTCTGCAGCTAAGAGCTGGCTGGTTCCTCTGGAGACCGCCAGCAGAGTTTGGGCGGAAGGAGGACGTCCAGAGCCAGGCAGAGACAGCCAAGAAGAGGGCGGCAGGAAAGGAAGCAGCAACTGGGGCCAACCTCTGAGATCTTAGCCACGAAAGGGAGGAGAGGAGAGGCCGAAGGCCAGCAGGGAGAGCAGGACCAAAGGACAGGGAGACAGGATCAAGGTCACGAGCAGCAGGGAAGGAGCCAGCAGATGGGCCTTCCGGGCCTGGGGCCCACTCTAGTGAGATCCCTCTGGGCCTCCTCAGACCCAGCCAGCCCTTGTCCCAGCCGAATCGGAGAGCCCCGAGTGTCGCCTTGCCCCTCCCCAGGCATGCTCCGCGTTTGGCTCGTTTGTTGGGGAAGAGCCCTTAGGAGGAATGCATGTCAGGGGAAAGGAAGCTGTGGGGCTGGGGAAGGGCGGCATCTCCAGATCGCAGGGCCTCTGTCCATTGGGATGCACACCCATGTCAGCAGTGCCAGACAGTGGGCTTTGTAGAGATGGGTTTGCTCAATGTCCCCACCCACCCACCCTGGGGGCTCTTTGTCTCTTTTTGTGCACCCAGCGCCTGGCATACAAGCAGGCACTTAATAAATGCTGACTGACTGTTTAAAGAGGGACAGAGCAGTCAGAGCTTGCAGGGACCCCCGCCCCCACCCCCAGAGCTGTATTCTGCTCCAGACCAAAACAAATGACCTGTGCCCAGGGAAGCAGGGGCAGTCCTCTGTCCGGCCACCTCAGGGGCACTGGGTTCTGTTCTGGGCCTCCAGTTTGGGTGAATGTCGATGGGCTAGGGAGTGAGTGTCCAGAGAAGGGTGCCCGGGATGGGGCATCCATGACCTTGGGTCCTCAGTCGAAGGGCTTGGGCACGTTCAACCTGGAGGAGACGTGGAGGCGGGGTGCCGTGAAGACACTGACTGTGGCCAGTGACACTTCAGGAGACGTGGCCATTTAGCAGACAAGAACCCTGAGGCTCAGAAAAGGCTCAGAATGACCTCACGTCTGGGAAGTATCAGAGGCCCTATTTGAACCCAGGTCTGTCCTGACTGCACGTCCGGTCCCTGCTCTGTTGGCCACACCACCTCTGGTTGAGCCAATGATTGCACAGCAGTATCCAGCGTGGGAGGCACATAGATGTGGGGGACCTAGCGGGGTCTTTGGAGATTATCTGCTCCAAGCCCTGGCCATCCACAGGCTCTTCTCTGATGACACCTGCATCCCCAGGAGACTCTCACCAGGATCAAAGCATCCCCAGCCCCAGAAAGCACCCTCAAGCTCAGTCACCTGTTTATGAGGCTAATGCTAAGGCCGGACCTTGCTGGTACATAGGGGAGTCAAAGGCATCTGGCTGTTGAGCAGGGTGGGGGACAGGCAGGGGGCAGGCTATGGGGGTTGTGTTTCTGTCCCTCCTCTGTCTTCCCAAGGGCCTCTGTTTCTCTCCCTACCTCCACTTCTTAGCAGGTGCCAACTGGCTGACTGTGTATTTTCTCCTCAGCCCTTGACCTCTCTGGGACAACACTGAACCAGGATGGTGACACTGCTGATTCTCTCTGTCGTTGTGGGCCTCTCCAGTGTGGCTGATGGCCAAGGGGTCCACCTGGGGTGGTGTCCTCAGCCCCCTGTCCAGGAGAACTTTGATACCCACAAGGTAGGAGTCCCTGTGGCCCTGAAGACCTCACTCCTTCGTGAAGCAAGCTACCAGGAACTGAGGTTATCCTTCCTGGCACAATCCTTCCTGCCTCAAATCCAGGGTGCAATGAGGCAAGATTAGGTCACTAGAACCTGGCCTCCCCTCCCCCTCCCCTTAGGGGAATCTGTGCCCTCCCAGGGCGGGGGTCCTCAGTCCCTCCCTGCCTTCTCCTCCCAAATAGCTCCTGCCTGGGCCTGCCCATGAGCACCCTGCAGGAGCCTTCTCTGGGGGTTTTATCCTTTCCCCAGATGTCTACCCACTGTCTCTCCCCTCCCTTCTTCCCACTGGCACTTACATTACCCTTTGTACCCAAGGACTTCAGATCCTTATTAGAAAAGGAAACAGAAACCTCCTAAAAAGCGACACATTTCCTCCAAATAGGCTCCTATTCTACAGATAGAGAAACAGAGTCCCAGAAAAATTCAATCTAAGACAGGGAGGGTATATGGAATTGGAGCCAACCCTCCTGCCAGTCTGTTGCCAGCTGCTGGGAGAATCTTGTTCCCTCAGGCTCAGATGGGGCATGTGCCCACTGGCACACAGCAGACAATAAATGGAGCCCAGTTCTGAGGGCATGATCGCGGAGCCAGTTTCAGCATGAGCTTCGAACCTCTCTATCTGGTGACAAATTCACTCCAATGCTCCACATTTAAATATTCCCAAATCTCAGAGCTGGAAGGGGTCTCTGAGCCAGCCAGCCAAAATCCTGCTGTGGTAAGAATCTAGTGAGGCATTCTGATGAAATGCAGTGGCTTAACAGAGCTGACACTGGTGGACGAATAAGACGCTCCATGCACTTGCATCTCAAGCAACATCTGGGCCTTCAGGCCCACTGCATTTGGAATCTGAGGCCTGGAGTCCAGGCCCCAGCTCCATGGCCTGCTACCTGTGGAGCCCTGGGCAAATCACTGATCTCTCTGGGCCTCCATTCAGGCATCAGAAAAATGGAGAGTTTAGACTAATTGGCCACAGACTTTCCGGTGCTAAATGAGCTGACTATTTATTATGACCATCTCAATTTTCACCAGGAGACTAAGGCCTCCTTGCCCCGACCGGGGGAGGGGGGGGGCAACACGCTTAATTAAATGTACAAATCCCATGTTCTTGGAAGAAAGATCACAGTTCAAGGCCAGCTCTGAAGCCTCCAAACCACAAAGCGATAGCAAAAGGCACCCAGACACCAGCATTTCCCACAGCCCAGCCATTGACCCAAAGCATCTCCCAGTCCCTCCCTGTCCATGACACTCCAGGGAGAAAGGGAATTGACCCAGCCGGTCGTCCCTCCACACCCCCCCCTTTTTCTCTTCTGCAAGCTGTGGCCTCATCCCTTCTGGGACTGCCTCAGAGGGTCCCTATTTGCTAAGCACTAATGCTGAGCTTTGCATGTAGCCCCCACACCAACCCTGCCGATTTCGCCCCTCCAGTATCTTGGAAGGTGGTACGAGATCGAGAAGATCGCTGTCAGTTTTGAGAAGGGAAGCTGTATCCAGGCCAATTATTCCTTGAAAGAGAACGGGAAGATCAAAGTACTCAATCAGGAGATTCGGTAAGTGGCCATGCACTCCCTGGGGCTGCCTCGCCAGTCTAGGTCCAGCACTCACCTGCTAGCTAATCTTCCCAGCATTCCCCTCCCCGCCCCCTGGGGAGCCCGGGCACCCACCACCCACGTGGGCAGGGCTCTGTGGGCTGTTTTCCTGGAAAAGGCCCACAGACTAAACTCTGGGGGCCCCAGACCAAGGGACTTTTATTTATTTTATCGGGCTCTTGTTCTGAGGAACCCAGGACAATCCACTGAGGCGATCCCACATTTATTAAGCACCTGCTGCATACTAAGAGCCTTGCTGAGGCAAAACCACTTTGATGTGGGAAAGCTCCACCACGTCTTGCTGTGGGGAATGGAGCGAGGCCATCCAGGAAGGGCAGAAGCAGCTGGTGAGGAGGAGGCTGGGCCAGGGTCAGGAGCTCCTTTGGCTCCTGCTAGGAGTGATCTGGGAAGCCCGGCAGGAAGTCTCCCCTGCAGGGTCTGCTCTGTGGTGCCAGAGCAGGAAGGGGAGGAGGGAGCAGGGAGGGGTGTGGCCTCCTAAGCACCTTCGGCCCCTTGCAGATCTGACGGGAGCGTGAACCAAGTGGAGGGGGAGGCCACCCAGGCCAACCTCACAGAGCCAGCCAAACTGGGAGTCAAGTTCTTCTGGTGTAAGTACAGTCTGTCTGGAAGGAGGCAGGGAGTGAAGGAGCACTGCCCTAGCGCTCAGGGGATGCCACCCATCCCCCCAGGGACCACTGGGGTAATCTACACCTCCAGGCTAGGCCATGGAGTTTGGGGGACAGCCAGCTGCTGAACTCCACCTCTGCCATCTCCTCCCCAGCCTCCGGTGGGCCTGTGAGCAGGGACCCTGGGAGGGAGCGGGGAGGACGGTCCCACAAGGCCTGGCCCAGATGTCTTGCCCCTGAAGCAGGAAGCCATTGTGGATGGGGTTGGGGGGGGGGTTCCAGTCACAGAGGCAGCATTCACACAACAGGGCCTGGCCTCCCCCTCCCCTCTGACTCTCCCACTTCTGAATGACTCATTCTTATTATTCATGACCCAGCTTTTATTTTTACAAGCAGGCAAAGGCTGCTTTTGGTGGCTGGAAGCCCACACCTTGAAGACATTTTATTGGGTTCAGCTCTTTGTTCTGGGGAAGTGGAGCCTGGGTTTGGCCTGTCTTCCTAAGAAATGGGCATCCAGGCTGGAGCTGCCCTGGGGAGGGGGCTCTGCGGGAGCAAGGTCTGGCCTTCGGTAGCTTCTCTCTTCCAGGGCTTCTGAGGCCTTCCCGAGGGGCAGAGGGCAGAGATGACAAGCCCTAGGATCAGCCACAGTAGAAGAGCCCCAGGGTGGGGGGAGGGTCCTCACACTCCCACCGACCTGCTTGGTCTTACAGTGATGCCCACCGCTCCCTACTGGGTCCTGGCCACGGATTACGAGAACTACGCCCTAGTGTATTCCTGCACCACCTTCATCTGGCTCTTCCACGTGGACTATGCCTGGATCCTGGCAAGGCGCCCGTACCTCCCACAGGCCATCGTGGGCCAGCTGAAGGGCATCCTCACTGCCAATGGGATCGACATTGAGAAGATGGTGCCCACCGACCAGATGAACTGCCCCGAGTTCCTCTAGCAGCGAGCCTGCCAAGCGCACAGCCCACACCAGCCTCTTGCTTTGCTCCCGGTAGAAAAGACAGCACCATGAAAGATGGCGCCTGGATCCCCACTGGCTGGCGGGGCAAAGGAAGCTGGGATCCACTGGGGAGGGGGGAGGGGCAGGAGAGCTTTTGGGAGAGCTGGCCCAGGAGCCTGGCTCTGCCTCACCCGGCTGGTCAGGACTGAGTCCTGGCAGCCCTGGCTGACCACCAGCCCACATCACTAACCTCCCCCAGCACACACACACCAAATCGGCTCCAAAAACAGGCAAGACCTGGACCTCGCTGATCTGCCCAGGCCTGCCCTCACAGCCTCCCTAATGACGGGGCTGACAAGCCCATGTGCTTAGCAAGGCTTCACAATAAAGCATCCAGGTTCAGCCTTAACCTGCCTGGTCCCTGCAGTATCTACTGAGGGAAGCATGTTCTCTGTGGCCGGTCCTGCATGGTCCATGGCACCCTGGTGCTCAGGCAAGTCAGCCTTGATACGAGAAGTCAGGGGGCACAGTAGACAGAGAGCAAGATGGCAGAGTCAGGAAGACCTGGCTTCAAACCCCGCTTCATGAAGGCGTCCCTCCCTTCTGGGGGCTGCAGCCTCCTGATCTGTAAAATGGGCACACTCATTCCTGTCGTGCTTGCCCCCTCCCAGCAGTGCTGGGGGGGGAGCTGGGGGGGGCCCTCCAGGGGTCAACCTCTTTGCACACACAATAGGTTTCTTCCACAGCAGAGGAGTTTTCCTTGGCTTGCTCCAAAGTCCCTGCTCTCAGTGACTCAGGCTCACCCTGGACTCCTCTGCCATCCCCTCCCCTCAGGCCCCAAGAGATGCTCAGAGTGCAGTTTCTCCACATACCACCAGGCAGGGCTCTGCAGTCCCCCCTCACTTCTACTGATCTCATTCAGTCCAGGATGATGATAACTTATTGAAGGAGCGGAGCGCAATGGCTCAGCCTCCACCCCACCAAGAGTCTCAATTTCTTCTTCTCTTCCTGTGCCCCAAAGACCCACACACTCACTTCATAGTTGGAGGCCATTTATCAGGTGCCACATCACAACTTCTCCCAGTGTGGCTGCCCCTGGCAATTGTGGCAAAGGTCTCCCCCTCCCCAGAGGCTCCTCCAGGCTCTGAGCTCCAGGGAGCAGTGGTGCCCAGAAGCCACTGGGAGGCTTCATCCAACAGCCAGATGAATCTCCCTAAGGCCCAGGTCTGATTGTGTGTCTGTCACACACACACACACACACACACACACACACACACACACACACACACACACACACACACCCTCATTCAGTAAATCCCAGTGACTCTATCTCCTCCAACATCAAATATAAAATCCTGTTTGGCTTTAAAACCCTCCAACCTTGCCCCCACCACCACATCTGCAGTGTTCTTACACCTTTCACCTCACCACATACTCTTCCCTCAGTGACACTGGGCTATCCCTTGTACAAGTCACTCCACTCTGCCCTCATCCCGACCCAGGCATTTCCCCTGGCTCTCTCCATACTTGGAATGCTCCCCTTCCCCATCTCTGCCTCCTGGTTTCCCTGGCTTGCAAGGCCCAGGTACAATCCCGCCCCACTGCCTACAGGAAGCCTTCCCCTTGTGGGGCACTTCTACATTAGCCTGTCTATAGCTTGTTTGAGCTCAGCTGTTTGCCCGTGGTCTCCCTCACTTGACCGGGAGTCCTGGAGAATGAGGACTGTCTTTTGCCTTCTTTAGCACAGTGCCCGACTCACAGTAGGTCCTTAATAAATATTTATTACCTGACAACTAAGTAAAGCCATCCCAAGGATATTCAAAGAGAAAAACATAAGCGATACAAATAAGAAACACAAGAAGGCTTTGCCCAAACCACTATACCACCCTTTCTTCACCGAAGCCCAAGCTCTGGGCCCAATGACCCTGAAGGAGCTCTGCTGGGGAAGCCCGAGCACCTGGACCAAGGTTCTTCAGAGAGGATGACGCCAGAGGGACGAGAGGGAGGCCGTGGAGGGGCCCTTTCCAAGGTATCTGAAGGAGGCGGGGCACTAAAGATGAGGGGGCCCCAACTTGGATCTTATTAATACCAAATGTCCAGGGACCGTCCACAGCTACCCGCCTGGGGCCTGCTTTCCACATACATGAGTTAAGAACGTCCTCAAGGAAAGAGGCAGGGTTGAGCAGGCCCTCCAGCATGCTACCATCTCTGAGGATGGAGCTCCACTGGCCAGGTTGCCATTACCCATAGAAAATGGTGCTACTGAGGCACCAAGTGTTAGGGGGAGTGCTTTTCCAATGCTGGTGAGTGACCACAGGAACCACCAGTCTTTTCTTGCCTGGATGCTGCTGTGAAAGACAGAAAAGCATCTGAGCTGGGTCTCTGGTCAGAGGCACCTAAGGGAGCTGGAGAGAGCTGTCCTCTGCCACAGAAAGCCCCGTGACCGTGGTCCTGCCCTTCCATTAACTGACAGAGCTGATATGCCCTGCACTGAAAAGAGCCCAGGAAAATGGTCTGCTGCTCTCTTAGAATCGGCACATTGGGTCAGGTTGCCCTGCTTTGTGATGAAGGCATCCCAAAGGAGCTGAAACCCTGGGATTTGGGCTTGTTTGGCTCCATTTGGACCACCAAACTCACATCCAGTCCCTGGAAGCAGAACAAATTCCATTTCCTACCCGTGGCCTAAAAGAAAAATTTCTTTTTTTCTTTAACTACAGCAACACTACAGCTCCCCACCCCCAGACAGCAAGACAAAACTTTTGGAACCTGGGCAACACACGCAATCGTACCTACTGCCTAAAAGCCAATGGGGCTGTTGGGGTCCTAGCGGATCTAGCTAGAGCGTGTCAGCACCTAGGAGAGCACCCTATTTATTCAGGACAGTTCACAAGGTCTCTCAAAGGGCATTTAGGAAGGAGGTGACCGGGAGGGCCCGCAGCCCCACCTGGAGTGGGCTCTTGGAGCCTGGCCAACCCTGCTAGCCCTCGTGATGCCCAGGACCTGAAATGGGAAAACAGGACCTGAAATCACAGCTCCTCACTGGGGCTCCCAGAACTTGGGGGGGGGGTGGCGCTTTGATATTTTGATAACTATACTTCACCACACTTGGTTTCCTTTGTAATCTCATAGATTTTATTTTATGCATTCAACAGCATGATTCTGAGAAAGAGCCCAGAGACAGTCCAAGGCATCCTGAACACAAAAATGGTTCCAAACCCCTGGCTTAGGTAAAGTTAAAAAGAAAGGAAGGGGACCAAGGAGGCCAGGCTGGTACTGGGAGATCAGTACCAGTGGCCCCAACAGGGATACAGACACTGCCTGGCCACTGCTGGAGCTCCCAGCCAAGCTCAGCTCTTAGCTGTTCTCCAAACTGCATTCTCAATGTGGCCTCCTCCTGCCCCCGCCACACACACACACACACACACACACACACACACACACACACACACACACCCCAGATGTACATGGGGCAGAATCTTTTTCTTCTTCCAAGGCTCAGTTCAGAGGCTCCTCCTCCAGGAAGCCTATTCAGATTCCCCTCCATGGAAAGTCTCCTTTTGGGATCTCACCTTCGCCTCATCATAACCTCCCTAGCACTATGTGTGCTTGCAAACATCTCAGAATGTAAATAAAACAAACTGTCAGGTGCCATCTAAACGTGAGTCACAGCACAATTATTTGTTGAAATGAATTCACCACATTCCGGGCTTTTTGGAGTCTAGAAGGACCTCTGCTGCTGTGCCAAGGGGCAGCATGTCTGTGTGGATTTAAGGTTTGCAAAGAGCCTTAGACAGATCATGCCATCTGGTCCCCACAATAGCCAAGTGAGATCATGCCTTGGAGGCCGAGCTGAAACACAGCACGGACCAGTTCTCTGCCTTTCGCGCTAATTTTGACCTGACAACACCAAGAAAACAGAGGCTCTCCACCAGCCAGCACCACACTGTCCACTGGGTATGGCAAATGGAGAGATTCTCAATGCGGTGGATAAATTCACTTACTTTCCAGGGATGTCCACATAGATGACAAGGCTGACACACACACCGGCAGAGCCAGTTCAGTGTCTGGGAGGCTCCAAAGCAAAGCGTGGGAGAGGTGAGGTATCAGACTGACCTCCAGACTGAAGGTCTGCAGAGCCGCTGTGCTGACCTCATTGTCATGTGCCTGCAAAACCCGGACAGTCTGCCAGCGCCATGCCAGGAAACTGAACCGCTTCCACCTGAACCGTCTTAGGAAGACTCTGAAGATCATCTGATAAGACGAGGTGCCAGTCACTGAGGTCCTTTCTCAAGCTGCCCTGCCCTGCCCTGCCAAGCATTCAGTCTCTGCTGCAGAAAGTACAGCTTCCCTCCTGAAAGAGATCCCCAAAGGAAAACTCCTAGGAATACTGTAGCCAAATCCCAGAGTTCCCAGGTCAAGGAGAAAATATTACAAGCTGCCAGAAGGAAACAATTCAAGTACTGTGGAAACACAATCAGGATAACACAAGATTTAGCAGCTTCTACATTAAAGGACCACAGGGCATGGAATATAATATTCTGGAGGGCAAAGGAGATAGGATTACAACCAAGAATCACCTACCCAGCAAAACTGAGTATAATCCTTCAGAGGCAAAAATGGTCATTCAGTGAAATAGAGGACTTTCAAGCATTCCTGATGAAAAGACGAGAGCTAAATAGAAAATTTGACTTTCAAATACAGGACTCCAGTGGAACATGAAGAGGTAAACAGGAAAGAGAAATCATAAGAGACTTATTAAGATTGAACTGTTTACATTCCTGCATGGAAAGATGATATTTGTAACTCATGAGAACTTTGTCAGTATTAGGGTAGTTGGAGGAAAAAAATTGTATGTATGTGTATATAGATAGATACATAGAGGGCACAGGGTGAGTTGAAGATTAAGGGGTCATATCTGGAGAATAAAATTAAGGGATGAGAGAGGATGATACTCAGAGAAGAAAGGGAGAGGTAGAATGGGGTAAATTATCTCACAAAAAAACAGAAAAGAAAAGTCTCTCACAGTGGAGGGGAAACAGGGGAAGGTGAGAGGAATGAGAATCTTATTCTCATAGGATTTGGCTTAAGGAGAGAATAACATACACATTCAATTGGGTATGGAAATCTGTCTTACCCTACAGGAAAATAGGGGAGAAGGGGACAAGAGAGCAGGGGGTGATAGAGAGGAGGGCAGATTGGGAAAGGGGTAATCAGAAGCAAATACTTCTGAGGAGGGACAGGGTCAAAAGAAAGAATAGAATAAATGGGAGGGCAGGATAGGATTAAGGGAAATAGAGTTAGTTTTTCACAACATGTCTACTAAGGAAGTGTTTTGCATAACTGCACATGTACAACCTATGTTGAGTTGCTTGCCTTTTCAATCAGGGTGGGTGGGGAGGGAGGAAGGGAGAAAATTTGGAACTCAAAGTTTTAAAAACACATGTTTTTTAAAAAAAATGTTTTCACATGCAATTGGGAAATAAGAAATACAGGAAATGGGGTACAGAAGTCTATCCTGCTCTACAGGAAAATAGAAGGGGAAGGGGATAAGAGAAGGGAGGGGGAGAGATAGAAGAGAAGGCAGACCAGGGGGGGTATTCAGAATGCATGCCATCTTGGGGTGGGGGGAGGGGTGAGAAATTTGGAACTCAAAAACTTGTGGAAGTGAATATTGAAAACTAAAAATAAATAAATTTATATTTAAAAAAAAGAAAAGAAAATGCAGCTTCAACAGACTGGCTGCGTCGTTGGACTTCCAAAAGCATGGTTACTAAAAACATCCACGGGGGCATTCACACGGAGGTCAGAAGAAGCGATGCAAGGACACTCTCAAGGTCTCTCTGAAGAAGCGGGGAACGGGCTGGGAGCTGTGGGAGACTCTGGCACAGGACGCCCAGCATGGCGTGCCCACATCGGAGCGAGCGCTGCGCTCCACGAGCGAAGCAGAACTGAAGTAGCTCAAAAGACACGGGAGACACACAGAGTTAGAGAATCCACCCCTAATGTGCCTGGCCTGGGTCAGAACCTCCCCCGCTCACATCGGTCTCATCAGCCACAACTGGGCACACTGACCCTTGGCCCCAACACGGTGATGTCATTCTGGTCCTCTTCAGGAATGAAGGACAACCAACAGTCCAACCATTAACCCCATTTTACAGAGGAGGAAACTGAGGCTGAGAAAGGTGAAGTGACAGTTCGGGGTCATCTGAGTACATAAACTAGGATTTGAACTCAGGTCTTCCTGACTGCAAGTCCAACGGTCTGTTGACTCTCAACCTTTCACCTTAGCCCAGCCCATGCCCGAAAGCAATCCTCACTCGAGCACACCCTGAAGTGGCCCTCAGCTTCAAGGTGGGGGAAACCCCGCACTCCCTCCCGAGCGAAGAGAACTTTGGTCCCGGTACCAAGTCAAAGCTGGGGGTCTCCCCCACTTCCACCCACTGAAAGGCTCTCTGGGGTCACAGTGGACCAAGTCCGCCAGCCCTCGCCCTTCGGTGCATCCTCACCCGTTGGGGAGCCCGGGCGTGCTCTCCAGGTCCCGAGCTGGCCGGCCCCTCCACCACAGCCTCCTCCGGCCAGGGTGCTGACCATGGTCCTCTGGAGACGGCCCCAGCGGCTGCAAGTGGTGCATGAGCCAATCTGCATCTCGGCATCTGCCCCCTCAGGAAGTGGGCACCCAATTCACTGGGGAAAAGAGGACGAGGAGGGTCTCCTACTGCTCATCAGTATGGCCGGGAAACATGTAGGAAGCACCGACTACGTGCCGTTTCAGCCTCACGACGACACCGGGAGGCGGGTGCTCTTTTTCTCCCCATTTTACAGATGAGAAACTGAGGCAGGCAACGCCCCCTGGTGGCCAAGCTCTAGCCTCGTCGGCTGGTGTCACCATGGCTACAAACACCCATAGGGAGAGTCTCTGGAGCTCTTCTCAGTAAACTCACGGGCGCATGCTCAAAGCCACACTCCGCCGCGAGCCGTCCAAGGCTCTCAAAGGTGGCTCAGGCCCCGCCCCCGGAGAAGCCCCGCTTCGCTCTCCAGCCAGTCTCCGGTCTGGGGACGGATGTCGCGACAGTACGCGCGGTTTGGGAGGGGTAGGTGGAAGGCAGGAGGTGCATGCCCCGCCTCTACTTCCGGCGGGACGCCAAAGTGCGCGCGATGGCGCGCGTCCGGACGCCCTGACGCCCCGCCCCGGCGCCGTGACGCCCTGACGCCCCACCGCCCTGACTCCCGCCGCCCCGCCTCCGTCGCGTCAGTCGCCGCTTCCTCAGCGGTCTACTGCCTGCTGAGCCCTGAGCTCCTCGGTCTCTCGGTGGCGGGCGCCCTGTCGGAGCGGGCGCGGCGGAGCGGGCGGGCCAGCTCGGAGGCCATGGCGGCCTCGGCGGCCTCGCACCGGCCCATCAAGGGGATCCTGAAGAACAAGGGCGTCACCGACGGCCCGTCGGGCCTGCCCCCGCCCGCCGCCGGCTCTTCCGCGGGCCCCGGCTCCGCGGCCTGCGACGAGGACTTCGGGTGCGTCTGGGGCCCGGGGCCTACGGAGGGGGGGGGAGGGAGGCCCCGGGGCGACGCCGGGCCCTGCGCCTCGCCTCCCTCGGTAGCGCCCCCGGCCGGCCCGAGGGTCCACGCCCTCCCGTGGCCTGCCGCCCTTTGGGGCCGGGGCTCGGTCTGGCGGGTCCGCGTGGAGGCGCCCGAGCGTCCGGCCGTCGCACTCAGTACGGGCGCCGTCGAGGGGCTTGGTGCGGTGCGGCGTCTGCTCGGGCTCCGGAGGGGGCGGGGTGTGCCCCCCAGGGTCTGCTCTCGCCCCCTCCTAGGCCCCCTGCCCTGCCCTCCGTCCCTCCCTTGCTCCGGGGGTCCCAGACCCCTGCGGGCCCGCGGCGGTCTTTCTTGGGGTGCGCCCGACCGCCCTGCGGTGCTCCACGGGCGGTGTTTCCCAGAAACGCGCTGGAGAAGTTGCGCGTGCTGCCTGTAGCCTTTTCCTGCCTTTGCTGAAGTGCCTTCGGTCACCTGCACCGTAGGGGGGAAGGTTTTAGCGACTGCCCGTTTCAGAGCGTTTAGAACGCATCGACCGAGGGTCTCATTTCTCCTGTGTTCTTTTAGGAATACCGCCTGTTGCGGCTTCGTTTCTGTCACCCGCATTTCCCACTTTCTTTCTCTCACCCGCCTCCCACGGAGCCCTCCCGTAGGACAGAGCCCTGGGGTGTCTTGGGCTTCACCTCCTGAGAAGATTTCTTAGTTGACGGCAGGAATGGAGGAGAAGGCGTTTGAAAAGAATGACTTTCGTGCTGAATTTTCCCCCTCTGCTAGAAGTAATTGCAAAATTGACTCAAAATGATTGCCTGTCGAGCTTAAAAAGACAATTTACCTTAAAAATGTGTCACCTTTTACAGACTATTCGGGGCACAGAATCCATTGTAGCCTGTTCACTTCAGAACAGTTTGGCAGGCTCTGGTTTCTATTTATACAGTCATTTTTTCCTATTTGAAAAGATTTGTTATACTTCTCAGGAGAAATTAAAGGTGACTAAAATCAGAAAGCCACGGCTTTAGTGATTATCCGTGAGAGGCCAGCTTATGTTTTAGTCTGGTTTAAATGTCTTCATGCAGATGAAATTGAACTCAGACAGTTCGGTAGTCATTCCAGGTGGTAGCATATTCCTCTGGGTAACAGTTGGCACATTTTCTCCAGAACCAAGACATTTTGGTTTTCTTTACTTTTCTTTTGGTTTTTCTTTGTTCTTTTTTGTTTGTTTGTTTGTGAGTCAGTCCTTTCGGTCACATCCGACTCTTCTTGACTCCATGTGGGGTTTTCTTGGCAAAGATACTGGAGTGGTTTGACGTTTCCTTCCCCAGAGTCCTCATTTTACAGATGAGGAAACTGAGGCAGGCAAGGTTAAGTGACTTGCCCAGAAGTCAGTCACACAGCTGATAAGTGTCTGAGACCAGATTTGAACTTAGGAAGATGACTTTTCCTGACTCCAGGCCTGGCGCTCTCTCCACTGCATCACCTAACTTGTTACTCTTATTCTTTTTACAGTACCTAAGATAGTTATTTATGGTCCAGTCTTCTCAGAGTTTGCTTTGAAAGATGAATGGAAATCTTGTCTTTTTCCAAAGAGGCAAGGTTAAAAGTTGATTCCAGACACTGGTTTGGACCATGAAAAGCAAAGGATGAGATGAATCTCAACCTCACTCGTGGTCAACTGCTGCTTAGTATCTCCTCCTGAGTGACCCACTGGCCACTTGGTCTGTCCAGAATGGATCCTTTCCCTAACATCTGCTTCTTCCACAGACTTTCCTGATTCTGTTGGGGACACCACTTCTTTTATTACCTTGGAATTATGTTCGACTCTCCCTCTTACCCCCCACCTTTGCAGCCAATAACTTGCTGAAGTCCTGTTCGTGGCTTCTTGTATGTAGCGTGAGCCTCATCACCAAAGTGATCTCTTCCCTTTCCCATCCATCTTCTACAGCCACCAACAGAGTGTTCCTAAGGCCTTTTCTCTGCTGGGGTGAGGATAGAATTTTTTCATCTTAAGGGCAGTAAAGACAACTTGATGTTTCTTGGGGAGTAACGTGGTCAGAGACTCTGCTTTGAGAAGGCTTTGGGGCAGCTATGGAAGGTAGAGGGGGTAGAATCTGGAGTGGGGGATGCAATTTCTGAGGCTGTTGCAATAATCCTGGCCTGAAACATGGTGGGGCCTATGCTGTGCTGAAGAGAAGTGATAGATGTGAGCTCGAGTCAAAAGGCTTGACACATGGTTGGATACCCAAGGAACCCTGAAATTAGGAACCCGGGTATCAGAAAGGATGGTTCTCTTGACATAGAGAAGTAGAGAGAAGAGGCCAACTGAGCGGGGAAGATGAGATCTTTTGGGTATGTTGAATTTGAACCCCCCTGTGGGACATCGAGGTAGAGATGCTTAGCAGGCAGGTGGTGCCGGAGAGAGATCAAGGCTATATGTAGATTCCGGAGGGATTTCCTTAGAAATAATTGAATTCACAGGAGCTCATCAAATGAAGAGAAGAGGATATGAGACAACCCATACTTAGGGGGCTAGATGTGCATGATATCTGTTGAAGGAAACAGATCCCATTGGAAAGAAGAGGGTTATCAAAGGCCAAAGGACATGGGAGGATTGTAGATTTATGGCCACAGGGGATCTCCAGTGTCACCTCGTCCAAACCAGTGTCTTCTGGATGAGGAAACCAAGGGACAGGAAGCCTTTTTTGCACCCAGTAGACAAGTAGCAAGTGGCTACTGATTGAGCAAGTGCTTACCCACTGCCACAAACGTAAGTGGTAGAGTCAGGATTGGAACCCAGATCTCTTGATAAGAACAAATCTAGAGAGTGTCTAGGAGGAGGCTGCTCTGCTCTATCTTCTGTGGGAAGTCAGGTTTCTGTGAGTACAAAGAGTTGGGGGGAGGAGGAGGAGGGTCTCTGCCTGGGGAAGTTTTTGAACAGTAACTCCTGACTCTGTCCTCATCGCTGTGTCTTAGCATCCTAACCTGCCTGAGAAGGCCAGCTCAGCTGTTTGCTCTGGAAGCCTTCCCAGGTTGCACCTCTCTGCCTGCCTGCCCTCTAGTTAATGCTTGCCTCCCCCCCCCCCAGTTGTCCTGCTGCTGTCAGGCCACAAGCACTAAATACTTGGCCCTTTGATGGTGAGTCCTGGGGGTCTGGTGTCCACAGTACTTGCCCTCCATAGCTGCTTACATGCTTTTTGGAGGAATCCACGTGGATATTTACAGTTGTTGGGATAATGGAGACAAAGTGAAGGCCTGGTGGTTTGGGGTCTCCTGAGTGGAGGCTAGAAGTCCCAGGGTTTCCAAAGTTGTGAATAGGCACTAGTGGTTATCTCTAGAGAGAATGAGATCTGGGCCTTTGGGGGCAAGATTAATAGTTGGCAGTTAATGAAGAAACAAAGCAAAAAATCCCCGAAACCCTACCCAGTCATTAGAACAATGAAGCTAAACCACATGATGTCTCCTTATGACTAAGCTGAGCCCCGGAGGAGAGTTTAGGTTATGCACAGACCTCCCTCCATGGGTGAGGGATCACAGGTATGGTGAACTGTGTATATGTCAGACATGATTGTGTCTGACATACTGTCAGCATTTGCCGACCTTTTAATCTTTGATATGCTTCACTCAAGAAGCATTTACCATCATTGACTGTGAGCTGGGCACTTCAGGGATTATTAGACCTGTTTTTTTGGATGAGTGAACAAGATTTGGAGAGGTGAAATCACCTTTCCTGGTTATAGCCAGTACGTTGCCAAAGCCAGCTTTGGAATTCCAGCCTGGGTCTTCCTGCATGCAAGTCCAGCATGCCCTGTTACAATAACTGTGGCACACCTTCTTACAGTGGATTAGGCAAGATTTTTTAAGAGCTCTTTCCAAGCATTTATTCCGCCCCAAACTCATGACTGACAAAACGTGCTCACAAAGTAAAACTTTTGAAAACTTTTGTCATGCTAAGAGAGAAGCCAGTTGTGCTCAGACCATTCATTGTTCGTCATTGCTGAGGGGGTTTCCCTCAAGGGGTCAAACATCTGCTGCAATCTGAGCTGCATTTATAGTTTAGGGTTCTCTCAGGAAATCCAAATTTAATGAGGCTTTCACTGCAGTTCTGTGACATTATTCTGAAGAAATGAAGCCAAAGGAGTGTCCTCATCTACGCAGGCCAAACTGCTGCTTCTCTGCATTAGCCTCTTCCTTGGGCTGGGTGATGGAGGGATTTGGGAATGTTTGCAGAGTAGAAACAGAAGCCAGATGATGGTGCCCTAAGTATGCCGTAACTGTCAGCTTTTTCTCTATATCACCTTATTTTGGTTCTGGATATTAACCCGTTTTACATAGAGCATGTTGTGTTTGGAATAGTCCTTCCGCAAGCATAGGCCTGTCCCTGTCTTGCTCAGTAAACTCCAGTGGCTCCCTAGTAACTTTTAAAATCAAACACAGGCTCCTGTTACTTCAGAAATTGGCCTGCCCTGTTGAGTTCACTCAAATGTGCATATCTCTCCCCTTCTTTAAAAATGTTTTATTTTCAGGGGCAGCTAGGTAGTGCAGTGAAGAGAGCACTGGCTCTGGAGTCAGGAGGACCTGAGTTCAAATTCGGCCTCAGACACATAACGCTAGCTGTGTGACCCTGGGCAAGTCACTTAACCACATTGCCCAGCCAAAAATAAAATAAAAATTAGGCCTGCATTTTAAAAACAAGATAGAAAAGTGTTTTATTTTCCAAATTCTCTCCCTCTCTCCCCACTCCACACACTAAGAAGACAAGAAATACCATCCCCACTATATGTGTAGATTCATGCAAAACGTTTCTGCTTTGGCCATATTTCTGTACCTTTTCATAGGCTGTCCCACCTTCTCCTTAGAATCTCAATGGAGACGTCTCTTCCCCGCTCCTGCTGGTTTCTTTCCGTGACATTATCTTGGGTTTTTTGTTTGTTTTGTTCGTATTTAGTATATGCTCATGTGTGCATGTTGTCACCTGGCACAGAATGCAAGTGAGCTCCTGGAAGGCGGGGACTTTCTGACTGTCCACTACAGTGCACAGATCCGCAGCCCTTAGCACAGGTCTTGCGACATAATAGGTATTGAATGCGTGCCTGTGGATTGACCCGTGATCATCATAATTCTTTGTTTACCTTAAATCTAGCTTGGATCCTGCCCTTGAAAACAAAGATAGGTGTTAGCCACGAGGAATTTGGATGTTTGTCAGTTTTTGGGGGTTGGGGGAGGGCGTGGCAGGGTGTGGAGAAGTTCATCTTTTATTGTATTGAAGACATTTTTTTCCTTTTCATTTTAGCAAGAAATCCCAGAAGTGGGATGAAATGAATATCCTAGCAACCTACCATCCAGCAGACAAAGACTATGGTTTAATGAAAATAGATGAACCCAGCACTCCCTACCACAGGTAAAAGAAAAGTTTGCTATAGAATCTAATGGTCTGGCTCCTAGTAGCGCAGTGTTAGTGAATCGTCTCATGGTAGGATGGCTTGTAGAGGTTTCCATAGTTTATTCAAGTGTTGAAAATAGACAGTCTTATCATGGAGTTAAATGGGAAGAGTCAGGTTTTCGAGAAGTGATTGACTTCTGGCAGTTAACTAGGACTTGGAACTTTATTGACCTTGAGCTTATTTGTGGAGAGCTTATTTATCCAAATCATTTCTTTCAAGTGAAAAATGGAGGCTGTCTGAGATTCTTGTGTCATTGCCATCGAGTAGTGAAAAGAAGATCACTTTGCACTGATAATCCATTCCATAAGAGTGAAGAGGTTAGAAGGAAGTTGCAGATTATTGAAATCTCCTGCTGGTTGTGGTACTCAGAGGTTATTCTGAGTCTGAGAATTCACTTGCTGGTTTTGGCAGCTTGGCGAACCTTGCTGCATCTTGTGACTGAGTTATGGAAGAGGATTGGGGGCCATTGTTGAGATGAGTGTGGCTGGGCAGACCCCAAGGCTGGTGGGTTGCTTGAGTTCAGGAGTTTGGGTCTGCAGTGGCTGTGCTGCTGGACTCGGGGGAGGACTGCTGAAGGAGGTTGGAAAGGGAGGGAGCAGGTCAGACTCCCGTGCTGATTGGCAGTGGAGTTGGCCCATGGTGGCCGCTACGCTTCCAGCCTGAGTGAGGTGGTGAGACCACGTCTTGAACGGTGGGGAGGGGGGGCTTAAAAGCAGGCGACTCCTCTTCGTGCTTTACATAGGAGCCCACAGTCTGGCCCCCCAGGGAAGAGGGAGCAGAGGCTTCACTGTGTGTGAGAGCTGACCGCTGCTGTGGACATCGTGTCTTGAGTTGTAGATGTGCTTGTAACCAATGGTGATTTCTTTCAATTTAAAACTGAGAACGGTAAAGGCAGTGACAACATGAGGAAGAGGTAAAGATGGTAAAGAGAGCCGCAGAATAATGAGAAAGGGGGAGAGGTCGTTTAGGCAGCCATTAGGGAGATGTCCCTGTGCTTCCTGTGTTACTGGTACTCATACGGTAATCCCCTGAGCTTTTCTGCTGAGCAGTGGGCAGGGGGGGAGAGGAAGCACAACCCAGCCTGCCGCGAGTTCAGAGAACCACTCAGCGGGAAGAGGCGAGTCTGCCACTGACCAGCTCAGTTGAATTGGTCTCCTGGGGCCTCAGTGTCCTTGCCTGAAAAGCAAGGAAGTTGTTACTAAACTATTTCTTTGGATGTTAAAATGCTATGAATATTTTTTTAGGGCTTCATGAGGTAACGTAAATTGGATTATTAGTGCGCCCCTAATTGAGAGTTACTTTATAGCATATATTGGCTATTTTAATTCAATTAACATTTGTTACAAGTTTATTGTGTGCAAGGCACTTAAATGTAAATTTGAGAATTTACAGTAGTATCCTAACTAACTTTAATCAGTTTGTTCTTCCAAGTAATTATTGAATTTTAAATGGCATGGTACTCATCCCAAGAAGTTTTAGAATGTATGCAACTCTCAGTTACACGTAGGAAAATTCTTCTGAGCTCTTAGTTCTTGAGGTTGGTGCTTTTCTGATAGTCAGAAAAACGTCTCTTTTCAGTGTTCAGTTTGGAAACCAGGAATGAAAGAAGGCAGGCCAGAATAGGACCGTTAGCAAGCTTGAGCTCCCAGAGGTCGGACACGTCCACATTGTGTATGTGACTGAATGGAATCTATCCATAGCTTTCAAGTGGTCAAATGTTTAATCTCCATTTTTTCTTCATGTTGGTGATTAATATTATTTGAAAAAGTGTTTTTAGTAGATTTGGTTTACGATACAGATAATTGTAGCACAGCAGTTAGGCAGGGACAGGAATGTCGTTGTCTCTCCTTGTGTTTTGTGGTGGCAGCCGCGTCCTTCAAGCATTTCTGGTCTCTTTGCCATTCCAGTATGATTGGCGACAATGATGACGATGTCCTGAGTGACTCAGAATCGAATGAAACCCTGCTCCCAGAAGTCCTTGCCCGGAAGTAAGTAGTGACTCTCCCCTCCCGGATGCACTCAGAGGAGCTGGTTTGTGGCTTCTAGAACAGCTGACGTGTATGTAGGGCTTGTCAGTTTTCAAAGCACCTTACATTCTCTCCTTTGAACTTCAAAGTAGCCCTAGGAGGTAGGTTTTATAGGTTTCGTGCTCCCCATTTTACAGATGTGAAAACTGAGGAGACAAGTGACCTGCTTGGACTAATAAGGGACAGAGCCAAGATTGGAATCCAGCTTGTTTCACCATAGCATTGTGCTTCCATTTCAGTTTAGGAACACTAAGTATGTAAAAAGGTGTATGTTGACTGGTTAGGCATCTCAACCCAGCGTTCTTAGAAGTGATCCTCCTAGTGGCAGGGAACCAAAGGGTGGTGGGACACGTTGGGCGTCCATTGAAGAGAACAGAGGGATCAGTGTGGAGAGCTCAGGATGCAGTCTGTTTCTCCTCACTCCCCCACTCACGTTCTGAGATCTCAGCCCAAGAAATGAGCAAGGAGAAAAGATCCCAGCCAACGGGCATCTCCGCTTCTTGTCTTGTCTTGGTTCTTGCCAAGTATTTAATGATGCTGTGTCTTGTCAGTGGGATGGTTGTAACCTGTGGGGAGGGGGGGTGGTGTGCGCGTGCATATGCGTGCGTGTGTGTGTGTACCATCATCATTTACTGAGTGCTAGAAGCAGGCTTCCTTCGTCAGCTAATCCACTGCCTCTCTTGGATAAGGTTGTCGGCTGCCGAAGGCTCTGAACCAAAGTTTCTCATTCATGATAATGAAAGTAGTGAAGAGGAAGATGACCTGACGCCCGAAGAACGAGGTAGAGGGTTTTCTTGACTGTTTTAGTTATTTGTGGGGAACACCCGGGGACACCAGCCAGTTATGTACCAAAGTGGTTTCCATTTTCTCCATTGTTAGGGGACAGGCAGAGGGGGATTTTTTTTTTAGTGGCAGATACCTTTTAGAAAATGTAATTAGTTTGTTCCCTACTTTCAGGCTGTGTGTTATGGGAAGAGCAGGTTACCTACTGTAAGGCAAAATCTTGACTCCATGTTTGTTTGGACATCAGCAGAAACTGTTGAGTAAGTGGGTAAAGTGGGCCAGAAGTGGGATTTTGCCTCAGAGCAACACAACACAAGCCACAGAAATGGAGTTTGGCCGGGCTGCAGCTCAGGTTGAGCAGGTCAGAGCCGAGACAAAAGCCATTTCTGAAAAGTAGCTGCCAGGGTGTCGACTTCTCCTCACGGCTCTACTGCAGGGTCAAGCGGATTATGGCTCCGGGGGCAGGGATCCACTCCTGCTTGTGGGGGGACATCTGGCCTCCTTCTCCTAGTTCTGCTTGAGAGGAAGCTCCAAGAAGTAGGGGTTGCCACAGCTCTGAAGGAGTCTGGCTGGTTCGCCAAGCTTTTTCAGTAATGCATCTATGAATGTCATCCTGGGCGGGCATCACAGAGTAGGGGACGTCGTTTGGGAGTTTTCATTGGAGTCGTGGCCAACACTTGGGGCAGGTGGGAAGATCCTGTTCTTTGGGCCACAACACATAGTAGAACGTCAGAACTGGAAGGGACCCTGGAAGTCATCTAGCCATCATCTTGGAGGTGGCAAACACCGAGCCCAGACAAGTTTATTGATAACTCAGAAAGTCTGTGGCAGAGGCGGCACTAGAATCCAGCACTCCCAGAGGAACACATCTTCTCCACCAAGTGGGAAGGGACCTCTCAAGTTTCTATTCTGTACCGAAGTAAGGATCACATGAGCAGTTCATTGTACGGCCTCCACTGGGAGGCCGACCCCTTCTCTCTTGGTCAGTTATCTGGTGCTAGCGTCAAACCTAAATTTACATGCAGCTTTGACTCTGTTTTCCCTAGTCTGGCCCTCTAGGGCAAGACAAAACAAATGTAATCTCTCTTCCACGAGACAGCCCTTCACTTACTTGAACACAGCCATCAAACTCAGCAGCTCTCCGGCCTGCGTCACATAGACTTGTGGCCCTCCACCGTCCTGGCCGCTCTCTGCATGAGCTCCACATTATCAAGGCAGTCTCCTTACTAAATTGTGCCACCCAAAAGTGAACAGATGATTCCACAGGGTATGTGACCAAGGTCTTTCCTCTCCAGCCTAAGGGCACATTAACTTTTCTCCTTAAACCCTTCACTTCCTCATTCCTATCTGCTGGCTCTCACTGAGACCAGGCTCTCTTCTGGTAACCCAGACTCCATGGCCACCCTTTCCAGCACTGGTGGCACTTTTTCTCATACCCCCAACTCACTGGTCCTGGTGGGTGAGTCCGATACTCCTCACCAAACACTGGGCACAGCAACAGCCGTGTTGTATGATGACCAACCATGAATAACGTGGCTCTTCTCAGCAGTGCAATGATCTAGGACGATTCCAGTGCTGTCTACCTCCAGAGAAGGAACTGTGAAGTCTAAATGCAGAGTGAAACAGACTCTTTTCACTGTAGTTTTGGGTGGTTTTTTTTCTTCTTTTGGTCAGTTTCTTCTCTGACAACATGACTAATATGGAAAAAAAAAGTCAAACAAACCAAAAAGCCCCCCAAATACTCCTCACTTCTCCTTGCCACTCCCATACTTTCCTCTATAACATTACTCAACAATTGCCCCCTTTTTTGAGGTTCACATTATCCAGATTTATCACTCAGTCCAGATCCTGGTGGCCATTATCACCCTTTTTGTACCCCCTAGACATTCTCCCTGCTTCCTTAATGAGTTCAGTGCCTGGTATACAGTCTTTAATACCACTATAGCTCTTGACCTCATCCTAGGGGACCTTAACACAGATGTTGATGCTTCCTCCAATCCTCAGTCTGCTCAGCTCCCACAACCACTACTTTTGCTGCACCGTAGCCACTCATAGAGGTAGGTGTACCTTTGATCCACCACTGTAGTGGATCAAACTCTTGTATTTGATCGTAATCTTTTATCATTCTATCTTTCCCTCTACCTTTCTACTCCTAGGCCTGCCCACTTCTCTTTGGCTAGATCTTCTTTCAGGTCATACTCCCTACATGATACTGTCCCCTAAGGCCTACTCCTTCTCAGTAGTTCTCATGGATTCAGTTATCTATGCGAATGATTCCCAGACTGTTTATCCAGTCCTTATTTCTCTGCCACGCCCAACTGCTTAATGAGCCCCTCAAACCTAGTATGTCCAAGGTGGAGCTCGTTACTTTTTACTCCCAAACCCTCTCTTCTGCCTAACTTTCCCATTACTGTATAGGTCACCCCCACACTCCAGATTAGGAATCATCCTGGACCCTTCACTCTCTCATCTCTCCCCCACCCAATCCAATATAATTCCAAGTCAGTTTCACCTCTGTAGGGTCTCTGGTCCCTTTAACCCCTGCAGCACCTCTGATCCATTTCACCTCTGCACCATCTCTTAAACATCGCTTGTCGATTTCACCCTGCAGCGGCTCTGGTCCATTTCACCTCTGCACCATCTCTGGTCCATTTCACCTCTGCAGTGTCTCTTAAGCATCTCTTGTCGATTTCACCTCTGCAGTGGCTCTGATCCATTTCACATCTGCAGCACCTCTCCTCAGTTTCACCTCTGTAGCATCTCTGGTCCATTTCACCCCTGCACCGTCTCTGGTCCATTTCACCTTTGCGGCGGCTCTGGTCCGTTTCACCTCTGCAGAATCTGTCCAGTTCACCCCCTTCTCTCTCACACTGCCATCACTCTGGTGCAGACCCTCATCACCTCAAACCTAGACTAGTGCCATAACTTGTGGGTCTACCTGCCTCAAGTCTCTCCCCACTCCAGTCTATCTTCCATTCAGCCATGAAAGTGATTTTCCTAACAGACGGGTCTGACCATGTCACCCCTCTGCTCAATAAACTCCAGTAGCTCCTGTTGTCTCCAAGGCCACATCCTTCATAACCCAGCCCATTCCTGCCATTTTGCTCTTGACTCCCCTCCTGTACTCTGTACCACAGTGACACTATCCTCCTGGCTGTCCCTTGCACCACATACTCCATCAAAGGCCAGACTTGGAGTCTAGCAGGTTCATGTGTCCCCTCTGACCTATACTGGCCCTGCGGCCCTGTGCCAGGCATTTAACCTTGTACTGCTGCAGAAATAAGCATGCATTAGTAAAGGGAGTATGGAAACTCCCACAGATGAACTCACTACTTTGTATCAGAATGCTTTGTCTTTGCCACAATTGGACCAAAAGGCAATTTAAGGTCATAATATTCAGAAGAGGGTGAGACTTTAGAGGACAGCCCCTCCATTTTATAGATAAGGAAACTGAGGCCTGTAGGTAGCATGACTCCAAGTTCAGTCCACTTCCCACTCTGCCACTTCTACCTCTCTGCCATCCCCACTCCTCTGCAGGGTCCTACTTCTTTGCCAGGTCTTCAGAGCTCTCCAGAATCTGGTCCTGCCCAACCTTTCGATCTGGTCCTGTGTGTGGTGGATAATAATTAATAATAACTGAGGGAATCTGAGCTAACAGTTTATTAGCAAAACAAGAATAACAAAGGGGGTAGCTAGGCAGTACAGTGGATAGAGTGTCAGGTCTGGAGTCCGAAAGATTCCTCAGATCTGGCCTCAGACACTTCCTAGCTGGGTGACCCTGGGCAAGTCACTTAACCCTGTCTGCCTCAGTGTCCTCACCTGTAAAATGAGCTGGAGAAGGAAACAGCAAACCCCTCCACTATCTCTGCCAAGAAAACCCTAAATGGGGACATAAAGAGTCGGATGTGACTGAAAAATGGCTGGACAACAACAACAAAGCAGAACAGATAGAATAAATGGGTAAGCAGACTCCCAGTCAGTGCAGAGACACTGAATGCAAAGTAATTCAGGTTTTTATGTATTAAAAACAATCAAGTGAAGTCAGTCAATTAAAATAAAAAACTAACCAGGGTACAAAGTCAGGTAACCTGATTTCTAATTGGAGGAAAGCCTAGGGACTTTCCAAATTGGGAGGGGGAGAATGAATAGGTGCAATTTCCTGAAATCAGAAAAAGAGGGGTCCCACTCCCCGCAAGTGTCTGTATTCAGTCAAAGGAACATGGAAATAATAATTGGCCAGTACAGGGCCAATTTTCACATAAGACACATGGGTTACTTGAGATGGAGAATTGCATCAGTCTTTGGCTGTGACTGGGTTTCTGGTCAGCATAACCTAAGTCCTTGGTTAAGAGTCTCTAAGCAGCAGGTGGGAGTAGTCCAGCTTCCCAGCCATGCAGGACTGGTTTCAAACAAAGCAGTAAAGTTTTTTCTCAGTTCTCATAATTGAAGAAAGTTTTCTCACATGACAGAAATTGAACAGAAGGGCACCAAGGTGGCTCCAGAATGGAGTCCCGAGATGGAGTCGGTGTGGCTTATTCGGTTCTGCCAGTTCTTCCTTTGGATTCATGGGGGAGGGGGCCAGCGCATTGCCTCTTTGAATCCCTGATGTATGAGCCAGGCCTGTAAGGTTTTTCATGTATTCATAATCAGAATTACATAAGTCAGGCAACGGATCAAGCTACTTAGAGGGCTCACAACAGACTGATTTTGAGAGGAGGGATTTACATGTCCCCAAAGTAAAGAAAACTAAGCGAAATAAACATCGTGGAAAGGACAAAGCAACACAATGATGATCACCCGTATTAAATAACATCAAGTCTCTTTGAATCCTGGTGACACTCCCAATGTCCATTTAATACCAAGACATTTTGTCTTGGAGTCCAGACGTCCCAAGTAGTCATCTGGTTCTTGAAAATGTCTTCTCTTGGACCTTCTGGAATAGGCCTCATTCTCAGAGCCGCTGTGAAGGGGGTTCTGCTTCTGTGTTTCCAAATCACTTGTAGAGATTCCTAGGTAGCTCTGCTGAGATCTGCTAGTAACAAGACTTGTTAGCACTTATTCTGTGGTAAGCATTTTACAATTACTATCTCATTTGATCCCTCTGGGAGGTAGATACTCTTATTATTCCCATTTTATTGATGAAGAAACTGAGAGGCTGACAGGGTAAAGTGACTTGCCTAGGGTCACACAGCTAGTAGGTATCTGAGGCCAGATTTAAACTCAGGTCTTTCAGGCCTGGCGCTCTATCTACTGTACCACCTACCTGCCTAGCTGCCTGCTTCTAATTTACCTAAACAATTCTGTTATATAAAACTTTGAAAGTTCTGCTTCAGCCTTCCCAAAAGACATTGCTAGTTCCTGGTCATCTCCCCCCTCCCATCATTGCATCTCTGTCCTCATTGTCCACAGCAGGGAATAGGCCCAGCTTACAGTGGGGGTGGGGTGTAGAGGGGTCCCTCCTCTTGGGCCCCTTTTTACTTTTAAATCACCCTTTCCATTCCTTAATTGAAGTTTACTCATTTCTAAGTTGCTCCCTCATTTAAACAATCTTTTCTAAGGTGAACAAGAGGCAGCTATTTAAGTTTTAGATAAATTTAAAAGTGCAAAATGCATACCTGTTTGGTTTTTTTTTCCCCCTACTCTGGGATTCCTTTCAAACTAACTGCTTCCTGTCTCCATTGTTCTGTGGCCTGGGATGGCCTCTGTCACCTCTTGGCTTCTTTCTCATTCTCAGAGAGCTTCCCCAGATCCCTTGCAGGATTTCACCTTGCTCCTACCCCCATGAGCTTTGAGTCATAGGCCCAGATGTGCCCAGAGGGGATTTACTGACCAAATGGCTGGGGTCTAGGCCCTAGCCACGTTTCTCTCTGGCTTTTCCTGTGATTCTCCACTGACAAAGGCATGCAGAGGGGAGCAGGGGAAGCTTCATTGATCCATTTGGTTGTAATGATTTTTAAAAAGGTGTCAAGGGGAGAAGATGGAAAGCCCCATTGAACCAAAATGTGTTTTTATGTCCCCTGAAGGTTTTTGTCTACTAGGACCTTCCTTCCCTTTTCCCCTAGTCCTGTGGAGAAATGAGGTGTTGAACAGGATGCATTTTCCCCAAAGAAATGCTGGGGAGTCCAGATTGCCAGAGCTTTGAGGAACTAAGCCTCCGATTTAGGACCCAGTGAAGGACACTAGGTGAAGGAGGAGGCCGGGTCTTGAGGAGCAGCAGTGGGGCCGGGGGAACAAGGCTTGTAGCTGACAGGCCCAGCCTTTGGGTGTGTGGCCTGTCTTACACCTGCTGGCTATGACCACAGGCAAATCCCAGCTGGTCAGTGTCCCTGGGAGTGCTCCCAGCTACCTTGTGGTCCCACCAAATGTGGTCCAGAGCAGGCAGGTGAAGCAGGGTTCAAGGCCAGCAGAGAGGAAAGCTAAGGAGCCCCTTTGGTGCCTTGGACACATTGGGCTGGTTTCTGCCAAGGCCAGGGTTCTGGAAGCGACTCTGTGGTGACTGAAATTAATGTTCACAAAGTTCCAAGTACGTTCCGTTTATGGGTAAGGGTAGCAGTTACCAATAAAAGGAGTCTTTAGCTCCTCAGCAAGCCAGAAGACCCTGAACAAAGGCTGACAGGTTATTTTTATGGACAAAAGGAGAAGCGTCCAAAAACTGGTATCTTCAATGGGGAAAACGGTACACTTGGTTACAAAGTCGGAAGCATCATCGGTATGAGAAACGATACAGTTGGTTGGAAATCAGCAACAACCCGTCCTTCCATCTTGTCACAGGAAATTCTGATTTCCTGTAACAAGGAGAGTTGGACATGCCTTACAGGAAATACATAGAGGACATTTCTTCTGATTGGTCAGAGACAGTGAGTGCTGTAGCGGTAACAAGTGTCTTAAATTCGGAGCCAAAGAAATGTGACTCAGGCAGTTGCGCAGAACATCCTTGGTGATGCAGAGTAGAATCAGTTACAGAAATGGAGGAAGAATGGAGACGCTAGCCCCACTTCTTCACACGATTCCCCTTAAAATGTCCCTTGGAAAACCCAGGTGTTTGGTTTTGTCATTAAAGAGTCATGGGGGGGGGGTGTTGAGTTTGGGAATGTTGCTTATTCGGTCGGCTCCTTCTGTCTCATAGAAAAAAGGCGTCAGTTTGAAATGAAGAGAAAACTGCACTACAATGAAGGGCTCAACATTAAGCTGGCGAGGCAGCTCATTTCCAAAGAGCTTCGGGGGGACGAAGAAGACGAGGACGATGACACCGAAATGAGTGAGTCTGGTGAGGTAGAATGCATGGCCACAGAGGCAGTGCCCCGAGGGGAGCTCTCGGCAGCCATTGTCCCCACCCATTGGGGGCTGCTGAGACCCGTGTCCCTGCACGGTGGCAGCGCCTCCTTCCTGACCCCTGGTCCCCGTATGGGTCAGCTGACCAGTCAGGGTGAGGAGATGCAGTCGTGACCCCGACTCACACAGTTTCCGGATACTCCGGTGGGCTCTTTGGAGACTCCATACTGAGTGTGCACAGAGGGCTGCTGGGTTAGCCACTTGACATTTCGAGGCTCATTGTCTGTCATGAACAGCTGGTGTCTGGGATGAGCTTAACGCGAGGGGGAAGTTGTGATTTTTCTAAAATTAGAAATGATGAGACCCAGGCCACCGAGCACTTGCTGCTCATCAGACTCCATGTGGGAAACTGTAGAACAGAAGATGAGTCTGTTGGGAAGTTAAACGGGGCTGGGGATGTCTGTTTGCAGCCAGCTGCCTGCTCTGTGCCACAGTAAGTTGTGCCCAGGGACGTCTCTCCTCGGTGGGCGTGAAGACCGAGGAGGGACGCAGCGGGGGGGCTCCTGGAGGGAAGCCCCTCTCCCCCGGGTGCTGTCCAGGATCCACCTCGCCCTTCCCTGTGGAGATCTCAGGGCCCAGAGGTCTCTTCCATTGTCTTCAAACTGCACATGCTCTAGTTCTCATCTTAAATGGGGCCTTTTTGGCTTTCGTTTTATCAGACCCAGATGATGTCAGAAGCTTTTTCATGATTCATCTCATTGAGAGCTTATCTTTGTTTTGGTTACCATACAGGACTTGAAGTCAGGGGAGAACTGAGTTCGAATGCTGCCTCAGACCCTTTCTAGCTATGTGACCATGGACAAGTCACTTTAGTTTTGTCTGCCACCTCTGTCCCAGGGTTGTTGTGAGGATCAAATGAGTTCATGTTGCTAAAGCCCTCAGCCCAGTGCCTGGCACACACTGCCTGTGGTTCATACATTTAGAGCTGGAAGGGTCCTTAGAGGCCCAGACTCCACCCACTGTACCCTGCATCTCAGAATTAGTGACCCCTCTCTTGTCCTACCTTTCAGGGGAGAGTTGGACATGCCTCAGCTCTCACGTTTTGTACCTTAGAGGGGTTTCCTGTGCCACCCCAGCCCTCCCCCCACCCTGTCTGACTTTGAAGCGAGGCCGTGGAGGGGAATCCTTCCTGGATCATCTCTGTCTGTGTTGGCCAGCCCAGGTAGCAGCTGGGACCAGGTCCACCAGTAACAAGCAGTCTCTCGCTGTCTTCCGTTTCACAGAACCTGGCAGGAGCAGTGAGCGCCAAAGCCAGTCCGGTGTTCCCTAGAAGAGTTTGGGGTGGCGGCTCCAGACCTCTGCTCCTTCACTGCTTCACGGTCTCCGCACTTCACAGCTTAGGTGTCGAAATGAATATCAGTGTGTCACCAAGAACGTTAAAATGGTAACATGAGAAAGCACGACCTTTGTGGGGGGGGGCGGCAGCAAAGGTGGTGCAAAGAACTTGTGCCTAGCGCCTGCCTGAGAAGACTGCTGTCCACACTGGCATTCCTTTCCTAAGAGCACTGGTTAGTTGGGGTAGGGTTTAATCACTTTGTGTGCTTTAAAAGGTAAACAGCAGCTTTTCGTACAGTTCAAGAGTGGTATATCACGTGTAGATTTTTTAAAAACCCAAATGGTATAGCAGGTGACAGGCTGATAAAGTCTCATCCTGATTAGGGGTAGTAACTTTTTTTTTTCTTCAACTGAAAAAGGGATTCTTTTAGCAAAAGCTCTTCTGTAGCTCTACCTGATCTAGCAACTTTAAAATTCTTCTATTTTCCCTTTAGACCTTGAAAGGAAAGCCTGGCATTTTTTTAATCTCTTCCAAAGTAGCTGTTTTCCCAGAAGCGTTTTCAGGTTCAGTTTGCACTAACCCCTGGCCTCCTATCCTTTTGTACACTCTATGGGCAGATTTGAAATCAGGTGGGGTTTTTTTTTTTTGAGTGGACACAACTCAGTAATCTCCCCACCCCTTCCATGCCACCCTGTATAACAGTCCACCACATACATATAATCAGCAGGTCCTTGAGATTCGATTTTCAATATGGTAGGAACTGGTCTTATGTAGACTGCTCAAACACTTAGCATGGTAGTAATTTGTGAGTAACCACAGTGGCTGATCAGGGTTTCTGGTCTGCCTGGGCCGCGGGTGGAACTGCCTTTGGTCATGACAGGCTTCACAAGAAAATCATTCAAGAACTTAGCTGAAGAAATTGTTCTTCCCCCAGCCCATCAGTCGAACTGCTGTTGAGCTCTTTTTCTTTTTTTACTTCAATAGATCCTAGGAAATCCAAACTTCATTGATTGCATGACTAGGAAAGGATTGTGTGAGGTGATTTGGTGTAATTCCCAGACCGTACTCAGTCTTGACATGAGACGAGCATCAGTAGGGCCTGCTTCAAGAGTTACCACTAAAGCCACATGTGCTGTCATCTTCTGAGGGCGAAAATACTTGAGTTTTCTCTGCAGTGGAGGATAAATCCAGTGTGTTTTTTGGCCTGGTGACCGCTTAATTTGTAATCAAATATCTATAGGTTAAATTTGATCCTTTTGAAAGCAGACTTTCCATTATATGGATGTACTTTTAACATTTTTTGTGTATCTTGTATATATGAAATAACTTTATTGAGCAGCTTAACTATTGAAACATCGGTGAGTCAGTAAAACAGTGAAGACTGGTTGCCATTGGAAAAATGTGATACTTCTTTTAAACATTTTATGAAACAGAAGTATTTTTTTACAGTGAGAATCCAGACAAGACCCTTGAAGCTGCAGTGGCTGCGTCCCAACCAAAGGAAGTCTTGCTGGGATACCTTCCACTGCTTGTCCCCTCCTTCCTTCCTTTAATACAGTGGTGTTACGCTTTTTTAAAGCATTCTAGGTCTGTGGGGAGGGGAGAGGGGAGTGCCGGAGTAAGGGATCCCTATCCTTTATCTCGTTTTTGTGTTCTTAAGATATTTTAGGGTTTTGTGTTTATGTGTGTGTGTGTGTCTATATATCTATATCTATCTGCATATATATATATATGTACACACACACATACACACACGAAAACAGCTGCTCTTTGAAGACCTAATGTAAAGAAAGTTCTTGGGGCTAAAGTATTAAGATGACACTTGGCTGTTCTTTATGAAGGCTGGGATTCTTTCCTGGAAGCTATAGGTTTACAAAGTTAATTGGAAAACCACTTTATTCTTACCCCTGTCTTCCAAATTTAGGCAGACAGAGAAGCTATTCTATCTGTAAAACAATACAGAAGACTTCTATTACTTGGAATGTGTATAGTTAAAATCTGTTGTTAAATATGTCAGGACAAAAGTTTGGCCACGTAGTTTGATGAAGATGAAGGGACATTTTCATAAAGTCCTTGCTGGGTTGCCCACAAATGGCTATTACAAAGTTAGTGTCTGAAAAAATACCTGATTGTAAATGTACAAAAACAAATGACTAAATAAAATTTGAAAGACTTCTAATTTTCTTCAATTTTTTTTTTACATTGCATATAATAGACTCAATAAATATTAGTTTAATTTACTTGGAAATAAAAGGAGAATTTAATTTTTCTTAGGCTCTCAGTATAGATAATGTTTTTCATTTCAGTTGGCATATTAAATAGCATTGTCACATTACAATCTGTGGACATGCAGATACTTGTAGGTGATTTAGCCTTTCTTTTGCCCAGTTGGGTGCCAGCGCCAGCAACCTTCGGCTGTCCTCTCTCTTGCAGGGCCTTGGGACTGTGGTCCCTGTGCAGCTGGACTAAACGGCGAAAAAAAAAATTGACCTACAATATCCCAAAGTGGTTCTCCCAGACTTTGAAGGAGAGTCAAGAGCAGGGGTGGGGAGCCTGCGGCCTTGAGGCCACATGTGGCCCTCTTGGTCCTCAAGTGTGGCCTTTTGACAGATTTCAAACTTCATAGAATGAATCCCCTTCATAAAAGGATTTGTTCTGTAAGACGTGGCTGCACCCACGGACCCAGAAGGCCGCATATGGCCCTGAGGCCACAAGTTCCCCACCCCTGGTCAAGAGTATGTGCTTCTTTGAGGGGAGGGAAGGGGCCTTGGCAGTTCCAGCTCTAGGGTCATTCTAATTCCAGTGTTGAGTTCCGTTGTACTGAGTCTTTCCATTTATATTGGTAGAGACCCAGAGGTCTCTTAGTTGCCAAATCTGATGGCCTTTTCTCAGTCTGTTTTCTTCTTCACACTATTGACCACCTCCTCCTGGATACTGTTGCGCGTGTGTGTGTGTGTGTGTCTCTCACACACACATACACACTCTCTGCCCTTCCAGTCTTCTTTACTAGCTCATCCACATCATAACTTTTGTCTGTGATTGTTCCCAAGGCTCTGACCTAGGCCTTCTCTCTCATTGAAACCCCCTTCCTTCCTCCTCATTTTCTTCCTTCTCTTCTAGGCCACACTTCTGAGGCCCAGCAACTCCAACCCAAGGATTGAAACTCCATCTGTCCCATTATTTCCAGGGCCTAGATTTCGTATCCTTTTTCCTGAACCTTCTGACCTGGACTTTGTTCCTTTGTGTCCCTGGGTGCTTTCTAGGCCTCAGGTGTTTCCATGTGTAAACACAAGGATTCAGGGGAGCCAAGATGGCAGATTGAAATGAGTATTTTTGCTGAGCTTTCCCAACAGACCCCTCTAGATAACTTTAAAAAGTGTGTAAAAACCAATTTTCTAGCAGGAAAACCAGTAAAAAGTCAAAGTGAGTCATTTTTCCAGCCCAAAGAAGCTTCTGAAGACAAAGAGAGGTCTGTAGACACTGGAGTAGGGGCTGGCACACCAGAAGTGTGGTGCAGTGGAAGTGGCACTGACCCCATGGGCCTTAGAGGTGGTGTGAGCAGCAAAGGCACCACTGAGGGATGGTCAGAAGGAGATTCCAGGCACTAGTATGGGATTTGGTGCCATTTGGCAGCTCCGCCGCCCATTACCCAGTTCCAGGTTGGGGTTCCCAGGCAGAGAATGATTATGGTGATATGGGAGCAGGATCCCACCAGAGTGCCAACCAGGGGAGTGACCAGAATTCTTCCTGGACCACACTACCTTGGAAGTCCAGAAACTTTCAGTCCTGATGAAAAGAACAGCACTGAAGAGGAAATTTGACATTCAAACACAAGACTCCAGAGGAGCATAAAAATATATGAGTGAGAAATCATGAGGTGCTGAATACGGTTAAATTGTTTACATTCCTATATTGGAAGATGTTACATAGGCTGTTAGAAGGTGTGTACTTGGCATGCATGTGGATCTGTTATGTTGAGATGATCTCATAAAAAACTGAAAAAGGGAAGCATAGGGGGAAGGGCAGGAAAAATGGGGAAAATTATCTTTTGTGACAGGCATGCAAGTAAGAGTTTTTACGCTGGGGGAGAGGAAGTAGGCAGTGCTTGCAGGGGTGGGGAACCTGCAGCCTTGAGGCTGCATGTGGCCTTCTAGGTCCTCAGGTGCGGCCCTTTGAATCCAAACTTCATAGAACAAATCCCCTTAAAAAAACAAGTTGTTCTGTAAAACTTGGATTCAGTCAGAAGGCTGCCTGCACTGGAGGACCTAGAGGGCCACATGTGGCCTGGAGGCTGCAGGTTTCCTGCCCCTGGAATAATGTAAACATCCATTGTTTTGTGTCCTTTCTGCTTGAAGAGCACCAAATGATATCACTGTGTTGGGTTCAAGGTACCATGTGTCCTACTGGGGTTGATCAGAACAACGGGAGCTTGGAAGGCTCTACCACAAGTTGGGCACAATCAATCCATGTGAATATTTGGAGTGGAGATGGCTCTCAGTTTGCACATCTTGCCTGTCTTTTGAGCTGCTGCAATTCTGCTTCACTTATAGAGCACATGCCTTTGACCACCATGTCAGCGGTCCTGTACCAGTGCCTCTCATGTCTCAGTCGATTCCCGAGTTCTTCCAAGAGACCTTGAGAGTGTCCTTGTACTGCTTCTTCTGACTTCCGTGTAAGCGCTTACCTTATGTGAGTTTTCTGTAAAATAGTCTTTTTGGCAAACATACATTTGATATTTGAACAACTTGGCTAACCCATCTGTGGTAGAGTTTGACTCCTTGGCAGTTCAGCCAGATAAAGGGCCTCAGTGTCTGGTGCTTTACCTTTCCAAGTTATCTTTAGAATCTTCCTAAGACAATTCAAATGGAAGCAGTTCAGTTTCCTGGCATGGTGCTGGTAGATTGTCCAAGTTTCACAACAATGAGGTCAGCACAACGGCTCTGTAGGCCTTCAGTTTTATAGGCAGCCTAATACCTCTGCCCTCCCACACTCTGGATCCTCCCAAACACTGAGCTAGCTCTGGCAATGAGTGCATCAACTTCATCATCCATGTGTGCGTCCCTGAAAAGTCTGCTGCCAAGGTGACAACTTATCCACACCATTCAAAATTTCTCCATTTGCTATAACTGGTAGTTCCACTTATGGGTGCTGGCTGGTAGAGAACCTCTGTTTTGGTTTTTGGTTTTTGGTGCTGTCAGGCCAAAATGAGCACAAGTGGCAGAGAATTGATCCATACTATGTTGTATCTCAGCCTCAGAGGCTGCATTGAGTGCACAGTTATCTGCAAACAAAAAGTTGTCCACCGACTCTCCCTCCACTTTAGTCTTGGCTTGTAGCCTGTTGCAGTTAAATAACTTACCATCAGTACAGTAGCAGACCTTGATGCCATTTTCATCTATGTTGAAGGTGTCCAAAAACAAAGTTAAAAACATCATACTAGCATATAAGCACACAGCCCTGCTTCACTTTTGCCACTAGGAATTGGTTTTATGAAAGAAACAAAAGAGTTCATTAGCTGATTTTATTTTTAAAGAGAAGAAAACCAAAGTAATGGTATAACAAAAATGAAATGGTTGGATGTACAAACAATGAGACGAAATTAAGGCAATTATTAGGAGCTATTTTGTCCTATATGTCAGTAAGCCTGCCAATCTAAATGAAATGGATGAATGCAAAACTATAACTTGCTTAGATTAACAGAAGAGGAAATAGAATACTTAGATAATCCTACCTTAGAAAAAGGAATTGAATAAGCCATAAATGAAGTCTCTAAGGGAAAAAAAACCCCAGGATCAGATGGATTTACAAGCAAATTCTACCAAGTATTTCAAAAACTTTTCATATAAACCATTTGAAAAGAAAAAAAACAAAAAAGTCCTACCAAATTCCTTCTATGGAACAAATATTGTCTTGATACCTAAATCGGGGAGGGCAAAAACAGAAAGAAACTGTAGATCAATTTCCCTAGTGAGTATTGATACAAACATTTGAAGTAAAACTAGCAAAGAGATTACAGCACTATATCAGATCATACGCTGTGACAGGTGAAATTTACACCAGGATTGCAGGGCTGGTTCAATATTAGGAAAACTATCAGCATAACTGACCAAATAACACAAACAACAAAACAGCCAAAATCATATGATTATGTCGATACATGTAAAACATGCCCATGATAAGGTCTGAATTGCTTTTAGCATAACTGGCCAATCTGCATCTTCTTTCACCTAAACCTCTCCCCCTCCTCCTACCTTCCCCACTACTGTAAAGGGCAACACCCTCCTCCCAGATCCTCAGGCTCCCAACCTGAGTCATTCTGGACTCCTCACTTTTTCTTACCCCCTATATCCAATATGGTGCCAAGGCCTGTCAGTTTCACCTTTGCAACATAACTCACTGCTCTCTGATACTTCCCCAACCCTGGTGCAAGATTCCATCACCTCACACCTGGATAGACCTCATCACAGTTCCAGAGCAGCAAAGAGTGCTTGTGGTCGCCCACAGACCAGAACATGGGCCTGTAGAGTAGCAAACACGCCTCTCCTTGGATCATACCACCTTAGAAGAATGGAAATCCTCTAGACTCCCAGAACTAGCTCTGAAAACAACTATGCAAAAAAACCTGAAACTTGGGAGAATGCCCCCTATATCCTAGGAGCAGAGTCCAACTTTAACATAAAACTAAAAATCAAGAAATAGGCTGGGAAAATGAGCAAACCACAAAAAAAGATCTTGACCATATAAAGTTACTATGGTGACAGGGAAGATCAAAACACAAATGCAGAAGAAGACAACACAGTTAAAGCTGCAACATCCAAAGCCTCAAAGAAAAATGTGAATTGGTCTCAGGCTCTGGAAGACCTCAAAAAGGAGTTTAAAAATCAGAGGGTTAGAAGAAAAATCCCAAAAATGAGATGCAAGAAAACCATGAAAAAAGAGTCAACAGCTTGGTAAAAGAGGCACACACACAAATACTGAAGAAAGTAACAACTTTAAAAAAAAAAACCAATAGGCCAAATGGTAAAAGAGGCACAAAAATCCACTAAAGAGAAAAATGCCTTAAAAATCAGAATTGGCCAAATGGGAAAGGAGGTACAAAAGCTCACTGAAGAAAATGATTCCTTAAAAATAAGAGCTGGGCAAGAAGAAGTTAATGACTCCATGAGACATCAAGGAAAA